AGCCGCCGTCATATAGCGTGGGAACGGCATTAAACCTAAACCAAATAGTGTGTCCGTTAGTACAGACCAGTGGTTAATTCCCTGTCGAGAGAAAAGCAGAGCATATATGATAAACAGGGTGCCGTTGTACAAAGCGATCTTAGCGCTGAGGTGATCGTAACTCCCATACCTTAACATAGACTTACGAATGTCGTAGTGCTAAGGTTGTTTTGTACAACGGCACCCTGGTCCTTAGATGATGCAATACAACTTACACAAGATACACGTCCACCATCGAAACGTACCTCCAGTCATACCAGAAAATAAACCGGAAGTGACCGTGAAGCCCCCTAAACATGGGGTGCTTACGCTTCCCGTGCAAGCGTTGGGATACAGGAAATCTACAGGCTGAAAGCGAGGATTATATGCGGTTCCGTGGCACACAACTCCGTTGCCTTACACAAAGCAAAATAATTAACATCAGGCAATGCAGCTATTGCAGTGTTCATTTTTCAGGAACTCTTGAAATTGAAGAGATCTTAAAGTTTTTCAAATGCAAAGTAATTACGAACCCGTAAATCAAAAGTATTATCTGGCTCCAGCAATCGTGAGCCTCACACAAATGATGCTTGATATCAAATTGGACCTAATGCCGTGTAACTAGAAAAGGAACCTCTTAAAAAGTCCATCGTCATCTTCTCTGAAGGATATAAACGAAAATGAATTGTTCCATTGTGTAGTTTACAGTTCTCCGTGAGGTATTACTCCGGTAACGGAATAAGCCGAGTCGATCCGAATGCACAGTCACGTTCATGTAAAGTCCTGTTGCACAGTAATTGCCATTAGACCGACTTGATCAAATTCTGAATTCAATACATCAAAAGATGCCTGTAAACAAATAACTGCCTGTATAAATGCCATGGTGCGGTCGATAGTAAATCATCCGGATTAGCAAAAGTCCGGATTATGGATGGTGACTTATGTTACTCTAAATATCCATGTCCATTCCAAGATAGTCCGGAAGGTGGGGTTTCCGGATTAACGGGTTTTCGCTGTATTTTTATGTTTATTTTCAGGTTATACTCCGACTACTACTTCCTGGACTATGGACCGTCACCTGAGTCGTTCCAGAAACATGTTTTCCTTTCCGTCAGAATGATGATGAACTGTTTCCGGAACAATTCTGTCAGAGCATGCATGTTTAGTTTGGAATTATACAATAAGCTGCCGGTATTTACTTTCTTTAAGTATGTTTGATAGTGTTAGTTACAGCTATAACACAAATGGTAAAATTGCAGTATATCGGATATCTGACATATTTGTTTGATGCTTCAACGGCGACAGTTGGCCATATTGACAAATATATGTTCCTATTGCTTATTAATAGTAGACAAAATTGATCGCAATGCACAAATTGGTTTAAATGATACGAAATTTGACAGCAGTCCATTTCATTCCCATATGATATCACATGTATATATATATAAATTTTAGAAATTCAATTTATCGGACTACAACTTGTTGACGTCCGATATATACGTTGAGAATTTATTAAAGGTAACATATGTTGGGAGTAGACCTATTAATCACACTGGCATTGTTTAGTCGAGTAAACTTGGAAAGGGGAAAACAAACTTGGAAACTCTTGCAAGGGCGGCTCTTCACGCACCAAAACGCTTATGCCTTGCCAAAATGGCGGAAGGTATCGGAAATACTGCAATCTCGCCAAAGGATATATCTACATATCTACAAAATCCCTCTGTCCCTGAAACAGTAGCACGATATTATATCAAGTGTGTCATGAAATGGATTGTGCTTCATACAACGGCATATTCAGAACTTATGTATATTTCACACATATTCACTCTTAAAAGATAAAGTTATGTGTACATTTTATCCTTAAAAATAAACTTACTTGCCCTTACTATTCATGTAGCCTTCTGGCTGAAGCGTTCGATTGTCACGTCGAAGACCAAGTTCGATTGCTCACAAGTGTACAATATGTGAAACCCAATTCATGTTTCCTCCCGCAGTGAAATAGCTGGAATATTGCTTAAAACGGCATAAAACCTGCTCACTCACTCGAACAAACGAGAGATCAGAATCTCAACACGTAAAGTTAACAGCTGCTTAAATGCACGTGGACGGCAAATTGTAATGTCTTTAGTCTTTTGGTGTTGACCAGAAATAGTCTGATTGGAAGATACAAACCCGTCCGATAAAATGTATCATAATCTCAAGCCAACGTAATCTAGTTCCGAACTACAAACGTTACAGTAGTGGCAAGTACATGTACACTGAGCCCCTTGATTACGAAAATACTAAACGTATAAGGTGCTTAAGTCATCCCCTTTGATATTCTTCTGAGCATCGACCCAAACGCTTGTTTGTGTACTTACACCGACACACCGACAGAAAGGTTCTTAAAGTCTCCCCTTGTGTAGACAGCCAAATCTAGTTGTCTCGAACTCGGATGTGTCGAATCCCCGGTTATGTCGAACTCACAGTCCGTCCCGGCAAACTCTTCCGATATTTAACACCAGTTTGATATGTCGAACTAGAAGTGTTATCTCGAAATCAATTTGTTGTCCCGAGAATTATAAAAAAACAAACTTTCCCTGACGAGTCTAACTAAAATATAATTCAAAACTGCAAAACCGTACCGATGAAATGCAAAATAGATATATATCCCAAAGCAACAAATCGTCTTAAATGTCATGAAAGTTATTTATTTGTCCATACCAACTCGTCACCATAATGTCAAACATTGTCATGGTGGGTAGAAAAAGTTATTTAACAAACTCTTATGTAACTGTTGGTGTTTCAATGCGTGTTGTTACAGGTGGATCTGCACTGAAAGCTGAACAGCCCGTCATTCGCGCGTGACATTTGCGCGTGTTAGACCTATCTACAAATGTCTTGACTGTAATAAAATCATGTCAAATGAAAAGCCTAAATTAGAAGCGTATCTTTCTTTGGTGTTATTAAACGGAATATACAATGATTATCTGTAAGCCATTCTCAAAGCAATGATTTTGATGTTCTTGGTCTTGCTGTTCAGTTAATTTCAAATGCAAATAATAAAATAAACAAAACGAGCTCAATGTATCATTGCATTACGGTACATGATAAAATTCACAGATAATTTGAGTGTGGTCGGGTAGCCTAGGGGTTGAAGTGATGCTTCGCTTGTCACGCCGAAGACCCGGATTCGATTCTTAACATGGGTACTATGTGTAGCCCATTTGTGGTGTCTGCCGCTGTGATATTGCTGGAATATTGCTAAAAGCGGCGTAAAACCATACTCACTCATTCACAGATAATTTAAAAACATTGGTAGTTCAGGTTCATGATTATTGCAGGGGGTGCACTGACAAAGGTGAGACCGCAAATAAAGTTTCATTTTGTGACAGAGATGGTCTAGATCACCCAACTGTTAGTCAAATTATTATTTCTGTTGAGAGTAATTTCAGAATAGAGGTTTTGAGACTATCCCTATGTTACGGGCTGTCCCTCGGCTGTTATGTTTATTGTGCAGATCCCCTTGTAACAGCAGGCATTGAAACACAAACAATTACATGATAGTTTGTTAAATAACTTGTTCTACCCATCATGACAATACCTGTAATGATGGTGACGGACAAATACATACCTTTCATGCCATTAAAGACGAATTGTTGCTTTGTGATTTATATCTATTTTGAAGCAAACGGACTATAGTACGTTGAATTTTATAATCTTTATAACTTGCATATACAAGCATGAATGGAGTTTTGGTAAAAGCTTCCGGGTTTGTTTATTTTTTTTCTTATCCTATGCTTTCTGTTATCCTAAGGTAATAAGGTCTGTTCGGTTGTGTCAAATTCGGATAAGCCGAACTATTTATCTGGTCCCCAAGAATTCGAGACAACTGGATCTGGCTGTACTTTTAAAAACAAATAAACGCACTATTAAATGTTAGAAAATTTATTCACATGCCGTTCCATATGAATTTACGAGATACCATTAATAAATGTCGACATAAAGTACACATAGTTTACTTTAAGGGTAGAGTAATTTATCAATTTAAAACCCAAACGTGTGTAAGTCGGACTGGGTGTTGACAGTAAATGCTGACTTTCTACATGACCTTAATTGTTGACCTATCCCAGCCGTGACACGTGTCATCGTGTCCTTATCTTAAATAGCTCCAAACGTGACTGATTGTATATGACATCCATTAGACAACTCCATGGCTTGTCATTTCTTCTCTCGCACTGTTCGAACAGAACGCCTTGTGTTTGAACTGAACAAGAACAGTGATAGTTATACGAAGAGCTAGACACTAACTTAGTAAGTTAGTACTAACCTTGGGACATCGCAATATTTAGTATTCAAAGCTCTAAAACGGTTACAGCTGATGACATTCTGGACGCCGACTTTTAAAATATGAACATAACATACCCGTATCGCTTTGGATTACATTCGGGGCGGTCGGGTAGCCTAGTGGTTAAAGCGTTCACTCGTCACGCCGAAGACCCAGGTTCGAATCCCGACATGGCTACAATGTGTGAAGCCCATTTCTGGTGTCCCCCGCCGTGATATTGCTGGAATATTGCTAAAAGCTGCGTAAAACCAAACTCACTCACTCACTCACTTGTATTACATTCTCCCGTTGATTTCCCCAAAGGGTTCCATTTTTATTATACGGTATTTCATCCATTGCGACTCCCTTTAGGACTGATCTAGTTCTGGCTATCACGTAAGGGATATTTGTCGGACAGTTGATTGATATCTAAGAACGAGTGAATACACTTTGGGGGATCTCAGTACCTGTCCGGTCGTTTTGTTAAGTGGTCTCCATACACCAGAGCCTGGTGCGGTCAGCGCGCAGAACAAGCTAGTTTCCAAAACAACAATGTAGGTCACGTACGATGGAGTAATACAATACCCCTGGTATCACCAGATGTATGTAGAATACAAACAAAACACTTGTCACCAATTAAAGCTCGTACCAATTCACTTCAGCTTATCACATACCACGAAACGGGCCGGTGATGAAGCTGAACTTGACCAAAAGAGCTGTCACATCTGTTCAGTAAGTATCAACGAATTAACTATAAGTATTGAACCTTGTTCTTTAACTCACTTGTTGCTGGTTTGGGTGTAATCTTCACCAAATAACGCATGCGTCGGAGTCTTAAAATCGGCAGGAAACGTGTCGGTTATATGTAGTAGAGTGGAATCGTTATAACTTACAGCATGCATTGTAGTCTTACAAATTGGCATGAATCTATAGTCGTTATAAGGGTGATGCATCAATATAGACTGTTCAGACGTTTATTTATTAAACAGACAGTATCACATGATATCGCAGGATCACGTGATATCACATGATGTGAATGGTTTTCATTGATAAATGTTGACAACACTCTACGTATACACTGATGCCAAGACAAGGCACTGTTGACACATGGCCTGACTGTGTCCCACGCTACTATCACGTGCTAGATTACTCTACGTCAACATGTATGTGATTTGAAAAGTGGGTCATTTGACGCCTCTGACCTGATCCAGCGCAACTCCTTGCAACGTCACTGACCTAGAGGTGGAACAATAATAAACCACGATCTTAGCTGCTGAGTCATGCTAACTTGTACAATGTTATCTCGATATCTACTTAATATATAAACAGAATATACTGAGAAATATTTATTCTGAACGAAGGTTTGACCAGAACAAGGCCAAGGAGCCCAGCAAGACTTTGACCATAGTCAGGTAGGCACTATCGGGATTATGTATATGTGGAGTCAAATATTTCTATGTTGTAACCATTTTTGTAAACGTTTATGCCATTCACTTGCTATTATGAAACTGGAAGATGTTGCTCACCTTAATGTTTGCATGAATTATTGTAAATTGATAATGAAACCCTTACTTTGGAATATAATGCTTTGTCAATCAGAAGTGTCAATTCACAGTAACCACCTCTGATTGAAACAGATGATTTGACGACCGCATAACTGCCCAAGCCAATTATTTATAAAAGAAATATTTCTTTCTTTTTTATTGTCGGGAAATAACTAAATTTTATATCTACATTTGTAGTTTTCATTGTGGTCCTGAAATATATATGTACAATGCATGTAGGGTAATACATCCTGTTTAGAAAACGACGAGGACAGTTATTTCAACATTTTGAGACAACGGGGAGATTAAAATTTATCATGTTTCTACCGCCGACTGTGATGTCATATCCGTTTCGTCGCGTCACAATGAACGTTCATAATAGAGCTAAATTGTGAACGGCATGCTATATTTACTTCATGGCTTACGAAGTAGCTGTGTTGCTCATTTTCGATGCCTCTGATATATGTGAGTAATTTATGAAGAATATCAATGTAAAAATATACATTGAGTATACATACAGCGACAGGTGTTTACACTACCTTTCCTATATATGTGACGGTGCTCATTTGACATTTGAAACCATACGCTGATTTAAAAATATTTCAATAGGAATCCGCTCCTGAGAACTTGTTTTTCGTATAAAGTATGTTTCTAAGTTGTGTTCGTTAAGTTGTAAAGATTATTGAACAACATTGGAGATATGATCAGGTGACAGGTTATGATGTAACGTAAATACCGCTCGTAGTGACGTTAAATCAAACTGACGACGCACTTGTTTCAATTCAAATACCAAATCCATCACATTTATACCTTCTATGTAACACTAACCTGATAACTGATTTATTTACAGAAGTTGGTCGTAGCTTTTATACACAATATAGTTGAGTTAGATGCTGTACCATATTAGGCTTGATTATGTTTGACACGAAGAAATAATTACCATAGGTTTTATAATAATTGTTAAAATTGTTTTGTAAATCTCATGTGTTCCTCATGTTCATTTACCTTAGAATATATAATGTTAAATTTTATACTTCGTGCTTTCAAGTTATACACGTCACTCCACATGTATTTTAATTTGTAATATTTAAAGTATATAAAAAAAATCTTATGTCCTACACGTCTGTGGCCAGTGACGCATTGAACAATATCTATATATATTGCATTCAAATAGCAAATGGCTTCAGTTTTGCCCTATATTAATCTTCGTGCAGACCTTTCTGATCATATATAAAATTTATATAGCAGGTTTCCGGAAAATAGTGCTAAGAGTCGCCGTCCGAAACCCCTTTCAGCAATAATTACTAACTGCTTTCGTTGAAAGTAGATATATGAAAGTAATCATTTAACAGTTCATATGGTAACGAGTTACGCATGCATAACTTTTATATTTGTTGTTGTTGATTTTTAATCGAGCTTTATCACTTTTCAGTTTAAGAAGAACATGTCCAGTAACGGGAAATACAAAATAATCGTCCTCCATGACAACAAGGAATGGTTTTCCTTCCTGAAAGAAGCCTTCAAAGAATATGACGTCACAATGGAACAGTGGATTTCTGACGAAATAGATTTTGATGTAACCTCTGACCCCCCTAAAAATGCTGTCTTTTACAACCGATGCAGTCCATCTTCTTACGTCAGGGGACATCGCCTCTCTCTGGATCAAGCAAGGGTAATAATTCAATGGTTGAGAAGTCACAACCGGATCGTTGTCAACGGGGAGATGGCAATTGACGTGGAGGACAGCAAAGCCTATCAATATGTGATGGCGAAAAAGAGTGGACTCAACGTACCAAAGACAATCTTCACATCCAACCCAACTGCACAACTCATTGAAGAAAACTTTGGAAAGGACTCAGCATTCGTTATCAAACCAAACCGAGGTGGGAGAGGCCTCAACGTGAGAAAGTTCGACAACCTAGCTGATTTCGAACAAGACACGGAGCCACTTCAATCCACAACTGGTCTCTACGTCATCCAAGCTTTCATTCCGTTGACCAGCGGACTTTTCCGGGCGGAATTTGTTGGCAAGAAATACCTGTACACCAGCAAGGCTACGGCCTGCGATGGTTTTAACTCCAACTTTTGTCCGTGTGAGGTACCGCGCGACCGGTTCAAAATTCTCCCCGATTTGGAGGATCCTTTCATTGAGAACTGTACAAACTTCTTCAGAACGACAACCCTTGAGAACGGTGCCATTGAGTACATTTATGACGCCAATGGTGTTCCATACGTCATTGACATCAACTGCAACACGGGTTATAACACCGAGGCGGAAGATGAAGCTGGTTCCAAACAGGGTTATGTTGAAGTGGCCAAATACGTCTACGGCAGAGTGACCGAACTAAGGAAATCTCATGCTGAAAAGTTGAAGCGCTTAGATGTGATTCAATAGAGGATGCAGGGCATCTGACCGCTCACTGTATGAGTTAAGTATAATATGATAGATCATCAACATTATCACTGTATTCAAATAAAATTTCAACTATATCCACTAAATTGTTTGTAATTCTTCATAAAATGATTCACTTTTCGTCAGCCAATCATAATACGATTTGTCGAACGATGACAAAGATATGAGACACACTGTGATGTCTTATGTTTGTTTTTTGTTGTTCATGCCTCACTCAGCAATATTCCAGCTATATGACGGCGGCCTGTAAATAATCAAATCCAGTTATCCATAATCCAGTGATCGATATCATGAGCATCGATCTAAGTCGTCGGGGTACAATTACACGCAATCAACCAATTCACCGTGCCTGATTAGTTCTACCCCGGTTGTCAAACATACATAGAATCCATTAAACATATCTACCGGATTATATAGAATCCATCAAACATCCATACCAGACTATATCAAATCATTCAAACACGTGTTTCAGACTATATATAACCAGACTATATGTATACATACAAGTCAAATGTTCATATATCATGAAATCCATCAAACATACATACGAAACTCAACATAACATAAGATGTTGTTAAAAGGCTCTTTGCAATTTGAGAATGTTGTCAATGTCATGATTAAACTGTTCTGAGAATAGAGAACATGATCTATCTATTTAAACAATTTGAGAAAGTAACAATTCGTCATGTTAACTTTGTTTGGGGTTAGTCCATTGTATGGAAAGGTTTCAGCCAATGGATTAGCAATCCCCTCAACCATGACCTATGTGCTTATATAAGATAGCTACGCGCTAAATCGCAACGTGTTCATTTCACGACAAAACATTGTTCTATCATGACGTCATTTCTGGAGATTCCAACATGCGCTCGCAACTTGATGACGTCATGTATTGGACGACGTTACTTTTGAGTGGGAATTAGAGCCCCTATCTCACATTCAAGAAACTGAACACGAGTGATAAAGATTTAACGTTTTTCCTTAAATCGTGTTAGAACGTATGAAGGTCGCGCACTCATTCGTGTTCATTCGTGTTAAGTCGTGGTCGGTCGCGCGCGGTCGTATGGACGTCGCAGCTCGGCTTAAATCGTGTTATAAATTTTTGCAATACAAAAATTTATAACACGATTTAAGCCGAGCTGCAAAGTCGTGTTCAGTCGTATGAAGGTCGTATGAGAGTCGTGTTCAATCGTATGAAGATCGTGTTCAGTCGTATGAAGATCGTGTTCCATCACGTTCAGTCGTGTTTGGTAGCGTGGGAAGAAACTCATACGACCTTCATACGTTTTAACACGATTCAACACGACTTTCATACGACTCCCATACGCCTGAACACGAAATCCATAAGTTTGTCATACGACCGGAAGAGCCCATCACGTGACTGAGTGAGAACGTGGGAAACCCCCTGAAAGTGAAAGCTCATTCTACAGCCATGCCAAACATCAGGCGGCCGAAACGGAAGCTCAACAGCCATGTTCGAACCCAGAATCTCTTCCTGTTCCTCACTCTGCGACGCCTACAGCTGTCTCCCACTCCTCACCATCAAAGCCATAGCTACCAGAAGTACTTCCTCCTCCTCTAAAGCTGCTTCTTGCGGGTCTTGTTCGTTGTTGAACATGGTGGGGACTGACACAGAAATGCTGTTGCAATGCAGCTTATATACCACATGACACACGTGACCAAAATAAACAGAAATATGTCGTATGAAGGTCTTGCTCAGTCGTATGGAGATCGTGTTTATTTTTGTAGTCGTATGGACATCGTAATGATTCGGGTTTAATCGTATGGCGGTCGTGTTGGTTCGTGTTAAGTCGTATTTGCGTCGTATGACAGTCGTGTTTGGTCGTATGACAGTTTGTATTGGGGTCGTGTTAAATGAGGTTAATTCGTGTTCTATCGTATGAATATCTTATGACGGTCGTATGAGTGTCGTGTTCAGTCGTATGAAGGTCGTGTGAGGGTCGTATGAGGGTCGTATTTGGTCGTATGAGGGTCGTGTTTGGTTAAGAAATTTGCATAATCCACAAGGTCGAGCACGAATCAACACGATTTTTCAACTTTCTTAAATCGTGTTCGCGATTTCTTAAATCGTGTATGGGAGATAGGGGCTTTAAGTGTCTGGTGAGTTAGCTGGGCAACGTAGATAGGCGCAATGGCCGAACAATCGCTTCCAACAGTGGGAGAGATATGATAATCGGTTTGGGGAGAAAAGGTAAAGATAATCGGCGTGACAAAACCAAAAATAACCTCCTGTTCATAAAATGGATGTGTCCGACATTGCCGCGGTCTGATTCTATTCAGGGAATCATCAGTTACTGTATTTAAATACGGGTAAATATTTTTAGAGCGTGTTTAGGCTGTACGTAATGTTGATATCGCATACAAGAAATAAACGACTCGTGTTCGTTGCGCCCCTCATGGTATATTTTTCCTGCCGTGTTTTAATGCACGATAAACAACGCCCACTCGTCGTTTATTTCTTAAATAAACTTTCTGACAAGTGGGCTGTCTGTCAAATGAGGGACACCGCCTGTTCACCCGAGCCATTTAGTCGCCTCATCCCATTAGCATAGGTTGCTGGGGATCAAATTTAACCCGGAATCCCAACAGGATGGGATATTTTTGGACAATATATGTACCTTCACATAAACTTTGCTGAAAGTGTAAAGTATGGTGTGATTCTTGTTCGATTATTGGAGTGATGCTATTCATTCGTTCATAATAACAGCATACACAACAATAACAAAGAAACCGCCCCCGTGGTCTTGTGGTAGAGTGTCCGCCCGGAGAGCGGAGGGTCCGGGGTTCGAGCCCCGCCGGCGTCATACCAAAAGACGTTAAAAGATGGTACTTGTTGTTACCCCGTCTGTCGCTCGGCATTAAGGGGCTAAAACAAGGACTGGTCGGTTCGGAGTCAGTATTCCATGTCTGAGTGGGGTATTCATGTTAAACTGCGGCATGGTATCTCAGTGAGCTAGCACTATAAATCGGCATCAGTCCGAACTAGTACAAGCAGCAACACACACACTTACGTACATGCACGTCGCTATATAAGTGCAATAATCTTGGAGTCGACGTTAAACCCTATTTCACCTCAACCTTATCGTGAAGTGTTAGTTTCCCTGAAATGTGCACGGGGCCGCTGCATGTAGATTCGTCCTTGGTATAAACTTTGGGTCATTTGGGTCATTTGGGCTAGACTCCTAAGCTAAGCTGCCGCGCCCTGATTCAGCTTAAATACTGCACAGTCCACCCAACTTCACCGATTAGCTCACCCAGCTGTTAAGGTAATTAAGGTCATAATCAAGAAAGACAAGTTCTATGGATGAACAACTTCTTTATTACAATTAGTGCGACGTTTCGGTGTAGATCCTAACACCTTTATCAAGCAAGTGATGGATAGTGCTTACTTACTTACTTACTTCGGAGATTTAACGTGCGCTTTCCGACTGATGCATATTTCGCACACGGGCCCGGCCAGGCCATTTAATGTGTTTCCGAAGGGGCGAAAGTGGTCTGTGCAACCCAAGAGGGGGGTTTTAGGGGTTGCTTATATAGAATATGGGAATTTTGAGATTTGGAATAGATGCGTGTTCTGGGGTTTCTGGTTGTTTGCAGTGTGGGCAGTTACCTGTAGTGTGTTTTTTAAATTTTTTTAGGTGGTTATTTAGGTTGGTTGGATAGTGCTGAACAACATAGGTATATATACTTATTAACATCAATGTTTATACAGTAAATTGATGGATGGACACAGAGAGCTGATTGAGATGATTGGAAGCCAGTGAACGACTAATGGGACAGGGTAAACAACCACGGAAGCTGATTGGGGTGATTGGAAGGATGTGAATTAGAAGCCAGTGAATTGTCTACATCATCTATCACCCCCCTCTGCTGGTTTAGGAAAGTCGACGACACCTTTGTCATTCTCCAACCTGAACATGACCCCAAAACCCTCCTCAACAACCTGGATGCCCAATAACCTCAGGATGCAGTTCACTATGGAAGAAGAAGCTGAGAGACAACTACCATTCCTAGATGTAAGAGTGCAGTGTAGAACAGGTTGCAGATTCAGATTGATAGACTCGGATCGTGCACACTCATTGCTCTACATAATGATGGGTATCCCTGACTTACTTTATAGGTTGAAGTTTACATTTTATATACGTATTGTAAACATAACATGTGTATATTTTTCCCGGTAGTCAAAGTGACCACGAGGCATTATAGGATTTGCAACAATGTAATACAACAATGATGCAATGCAATACATTACATAAAATCATGGAACTTATTTGATAAGCGGATTTGCTAAGAAGTAATACCAGCATAATCACATTATTCTAATACCATAATCTAATATACCACATATGTCCACGACATTATGGGGGTGTACCGATTGATGGAGGTATCCATGCATCGAAATACTCCACACCACGGTGACACGATACATACTGAATCAGCAATACTGTTGGCTTTCTAGACTATCAAAAGCGTCGATAGACGTAATACAGGGGTTAGTCATGGCGGTATCTATGTTCATTTAAGCGTTTAATACATACTCGTTTTCACGTCAGAACCTGTGCATTTACCTGTAGTAACAATAAAATACTATTTTCCCCAAGTATTTCCAATGTAATGTATCTCTTACTAAATATTGCAATTTCATCGCAATATAATACTTATTTGAACTATAGCAATACTATTCAAATTTCGTTATCATCGTTCGTCCATATTTAAACAAATACAATTATTCATATTCTATTCAAAAGCATAACTATCTTTTTCATATATTAATCACAGTCTTATTTAGCAATCTGGTATGTTAATATAGCTCATCAGTCACTAATAATTTTCGTGACGTAACGGGATATCTCTGTATGGTTACTGTTGCATAGTATTCACAGTGTCTCTTTGGGCGAATACAGTTGCTTAAAACGTGTCCGGTGTGATTTACATCGTATACACTCTGTGTTGAGAACACATACATGGGTTGATATATGTAAAAACTATGTGTGTGCATGTGGCCTGTCGTCTAAGGCGCCGCGATTCGCTGTGCAGAGTTGCGTCCCTTTGGCACGCCAGAAACCTATGACTGTGGGTTCGAATCCCGGTTCGCCCCTATTATGTTTCTAAGTCTGTCAGCACCATACCCGTGCTCGTGGGTTTCACCGAAGTGGTAAACGTCTGAGACCTGCATCACTTCGGGCTTTCCTCCCACGTTAAGCTGACACGCCGTGATATAACTGGAATAATGTTAAAAAGCGCGTTAAACCTAACTCACTCACTCACTATGTGTGTGTACCTCTCACATCAAACTGATAGGCAAAGGAAGTTAAATAGGTGCATAGATAATGGTTTCAGACTATTGTCATGGTAGCATTGTTAAGACAAAGAAAAGAGCGCTGTACATTTTGTCAGTTTCTAGTGGTATATAATGTATTAAGTTGAATACCGAATTACAATATATCTTATGCTCAATCATAAACTGTAAAACATGAAATATATATCAGCATATAAATGACGAACATTGTTGTATAAAGGTGATTTGACGACACACACAGGCTGAGTGTTGTGAACATTTAAATAGTGACGGTATGTGTACTGTTTATTATGAATTTGATTTATACCAATTAATTGACAAAGTGGTTAGGTGGGAAAAAATGAACTTTATTTTATTTCGTATCACAGTTACAACCAAACACTACATTATTATTTACTGTTTATTGTTGTACACCGGAGATTCAAACGACACTATCTTCAGTCTTATCTTTTACTACGCACCATAACAACAGCTGGCTCATTTCTCAGTGACTGCTTCAGTATATCATCCGAAAGTATGGCGTTGGTTCCTTTTCTTTCTTCTGACGTTTCCTCTTGTTTGGCTATGGCACTCAGGCGGTACGTGCACACATATTACCAAAAAGTAGTTGTATTTACTATATACTTCAGTGTGAAAGATTGAGATTTTCGAAGTTGTAAAAGTGAATGTTTTATTGCAGTGAACATAACACTTGATAGTTCACTGCTGTGAACAGAGCACTTTGCGGAACTATTGTCATATAAGAGTTACCTCCCCTCAAATTGTCCATTTTTATTGTAAATGCAGGTACACAAACTGTTGACTTCCATTTCACGTTAGTTCCACATTGACAAGGCAAACCAATGACAGATGGTCATTTATGGAGTGAATTTCGCTTCATGTCGTTGGTTATTCTCTTGAAAATGTTTCGTTATAAACTGTAAATTTCTCATTTAACTCGTCAATCGAGACTGTATGTTCCTTGACCAGCGTGTAATCTGTCGCTTCCAACAGCGATCTCGTAGTTTTTAAGAATATATTTTGTTAAAGTTGATTTTGTATATGATCATATCTTTATGTATGATACAGAATTTTGGTGACCCTAAATATTTTTTTGTTACTTTTGTTTATATTTTTTAAAGATTTTGTAAACACGAAACTACTTTTTTAGTCGCAAATACAAGGGTTGGTGAACCGTCCCTGTTATCCTGTGCGTTAGATAGGGAGAATTTACGTTTCAAGGTTTTACATATGCACACTTTCTTTATTTTTCTTAGTAGGAGTTCTCCAGGTCATGAGTATCTGGCTATCGAGTCGTAGAGTTACGAGCATCGCCTGATGCAAGGGAAGATGAACTTCCTTACCAAGCAAACAGAACTATAATCTATTTCAATAATCACTATTTTATAAACACATATTATCCAATGAAATTATAGTTAGCATTCTGTAAAAGAGTGGTACACGAAGTGTAATTATAGATTGAAAATAATTTCAATCCTGATTCTATGCTCTTGACATTGCATATATCCATTCACTGAAAGTATGTCTGTTGACGTAATTATTCAACAACCTTCTTACTGCAAAACATATATTTTATCACCTACATTTTGGATTCTTTTTCTTATTTATTTCTGGTTCGACCCCGGGGGCGTCATACCAAACGACGTTAAAAGAGTGGCTTGTTGTTATCATACCTAGCGCTCGGCATTTAGGGGATAAATCAGTATAATGTGTCTGAGTTGGGTATCCATGTTAAACTGCGGGGTAGTCGTGGGTTCGATCTCCGACCGCGTCATATCAAATGACGTTAAAAAGATGGTACTTGTTCTTACCCTGTCTGGCGCTCGGCATTAAGGGGCTGAAACAAGGACTGGTGGGTTAGAGTCAGTATACTGTGTCTGGGTGGGGTATCCATGTTAAACTGTAGGGTGGTATCTCACTGGGCTGGCATAAGGAAACTGGCACAACTCCGAACATGTACAAGCAGCCACACACGCGTGCATGCACGTCGCTAAATAAATTAAAAGAATCTTGAACGTTACAACTTCATTCCACCATCGTTTCTTTTAAACGATTCCTCTCCAGGCGACTAATCATTTTCCGTGAAAGAAATACTGATGTTTGCACAATACTGCCATACTGCATAGAATACAAATAAGAAACTACGACAGGCTTGTATCATCTATTTTCTATTGTTCACATTTCGTGAAAGCATAACAGCTTCAGCGACAAACCCAGGAGATGTAGTGAGTCTGTCGTGCCAACACTCAGGGTGGACGATGACTGGATCTGAGCAAAATGCCTCGTCCCAATGGTATAAATATTGTCAGACTAAGTCCATGGTTAGCTGTCAACAATATTTAACACTGTCTTCATATTATAAAATCATGATTGCAAACTAACCGTAACCATGGTGACAGTCGATTGTACAAGTCCGACTTTATCTTGAGCATGTGCCCGTAAATGACTATCAAAAAGCTATGATACCAGGCGTTCACAAAAAGGAGAGCGTATCTGACCCCACCGGTGCCTCCTGTTACAAACACATGCAAAAGCAAGCCAATTGTTCACCTTAAAAAACATGGGGAAAGTCAGAAAATGGAGCTTCATTCTTGTCATTGATGGTCAAATTTGAAAACGTCCTTTAGTGTAGCAACCTTGATCAAGCCGATTCTGATCAAGAGTCGAATGACGCTCTTGAAATCGTGTCATACAGTCTTGTGGAGAGTGTTTTGTCACTGTGAGTCTTTAATTCATAGATCTAAATTTGAAACAGATGAGGCGGTCTCATTGGTCTCTTTATTTATAGTTCAGGAGGGAGTGGAGTGAGTTTGGTTTTACGCCGCTTTTAGTAATCTTCCAGCAATATCACGGCGGGAGACACCAGAAAAATTGGTTTCAGACATTGTATTCATGTCGGGAATAGAACCCGGGTCTTCGGCGTGACGAGCGAATCCTTTAACCACTAGGCTACCCGACCGCCCCGGTAAATCAGTGGAAGGGAATTGGCTATTTGATGGTTATTTAACGATATCAGATCATCGATATACCTGAAGGTTAAGTTAAACATCTAGGCCAAATTACCCTTTTTGACAAACGACAAATTGATTATTATCCCACATAATTGTGACATGGTGCATATTAAAGAATTTAAAATAAATACCTTTTCGAAGGCAATAGTCAATAAGAACATGACTGATATATATCTCATATATGTTTAATTCAAAGAAACTCAAAGCTATACATATACATGCTTTGGGGGCATTAAACATAAAAATGTACAATAACACATAAAACATTCATATTGTTATGCTGTAAACAACGATATAAATAATACATGGTCGGTTGAAATCCAGATAACACAAAATAGTCCCCCTTTGATTTAAATTTCTCCTACCGCGAAAACATTTGCGAAACGTTTGGTAGAAGTAACTAGTCCTTATATGAAATCACGTTTATGTCAGTACTAATACTGTAACTTTGAGCAAAGCTCTCATTTTTGGCAAAAAGTCACTGAACATGTGACCCATTAAATTCTATGATACATAACAATGGTAAAAGGCTGCGCTGTACAAAATCCACAAGTTGATTGAGGAAGGCATTTATCATGAAACGTCTGTTTTGTTCTGTGCATTGAACAATGTGTCTTGGATTGCTTGTGTCGGTTGCTATGGAGACCTATTCTTGAACATCAACAATGAGTGGGGTAAGGTACTGGCTGTGTCGGATTCCGAAGGAGTAGTCGGGTTCCTTCTTCTTGTGGATCCACACCTGGAAGATAAAGCTCCATGTTATGCACCATCCTCATCAAAATGAAAAGTAGGAGAAAGAATCATCATCAAATTGATTGAAAGACTTCATTGAACAGCACATTGGTATTCAATGGGACATACATTGTCAAGTTGTGAAAGAGTGAGTGAGCTGCTTTTAACGCCGCTTTAAACAATATTCCAGTTATGTCACGGTGTGTTAACTTCAAGTGGGAGGAAGGCTCGAAGTGGTGTAGGTCTCAGATGTGTACCACTAGGACCCAAGGAACATAATCGGCGGGAACCGGGAATGAAACCTACGGGCATAGGTTTCTGGCCTAACCAAGGAACGCATCTCTACACAGCGAAATGCGGCTTAGAGGACTGGGAATCCCGTGCCCCCAAGTTGGGAAGGAAGTTCAGTAGGATCAGTGGGTGGTGACCTGGCTTGTGACATCAATTCTTCGTATCGTTTGACATAACATTACCAAATGTTTTCAAAAAGGTATTCATTTTCAGATCCAGAGAGGGGTGGAGGAGATGTACACTCCACCTTTTCACTCATCTCAGATGTCAACTTGTCACACATCCTCTTCTAGGTAGTGTTCACTTCATCACACCTTTTATCAACATCCAGCATCTACTTCTGTATTTGTTTCCTTTCCTAATCTTTCTATGACCAAAATTCTGATTTCCTTACCATGTGTCAATGCTAGATACTAGTACACTTTATTGGGTGTTTAATAGCTTGAGACTTACCTTCTGTGGTGAGTGAGCTCCTGGGCCAGGCTTCTTGGTGGTGTCGCCGGGCATGACGCTTCTGCTGGTCATGCTGTACAGAGGGGCCTTCATCTTGAACGTGCTGGGGTCAGTGGTGTTGTAGGTGCCTGGTCCAGGGGCCTGAATAGCAACAGCCCCATCAGTATATTATCGCAAATATGATCAGAAATCAAGAAGTGTTCTGCTGAAGTGAGTGAAGACCATGTAAAATACATTCCACACATCCACAACCGACTGATGTTTGCCATCTTGCTCTGATATCAACCTATCACTTGAGGGACATTGGGTAGCATGGGGGAGAGAGTGTTCTCTCTTAATTCTGATATATTATCTTATGAATGATATGAATATAGTAATGTAACTGATGTGTAACGACGTACTCGCTCGCTCACAGTCTCAGGATATCAAAGGAGTGAACGCCTGTCAGGGTAATTTGTTACCTTTGGCAAACTACAAAAAGGGCAATATTTCCGGGTTGAATATAAGCTCTCCTTCTGAAAATCAATGTTACAAGAGGACACATTTCAATTCGCAACAGGAGCGTTTACGTACCCTGGCCAGATCCTCAGAAGAGCCTCCAACGGTCTGTCTCCCAGAGAGACTGTGACAAGCTGCCTGTTTCTTCCCACTCTGAACTGTCTTGCCGATCATGTTGGGCAAGGAGTAGCTGTTGGCAGCTGGAACATAAACAATAGTTTAAATCTTTCCCAAATCTGTCATCATATTTTTTCAAATCATAATTTCTTATTATGACCCAGTCATCCTTTTCATCATAAACCCTGACTCTCACCTGGATTATTGTCGGTTCTTCTGTATCTCTGCCTCGTACCAAAACTGTAGGCTGGATGACGGAACTTGGCGGTGGGGCCGACTTTCTCAGGATTATAAGAACCTGGCCCGGGGGTCTTAAATGATTTGCTATCCTTCTGGCGACCATACAGGGAGTAATGGGGGGTACCATCCATTCCGTCTCGGTTCACCTGTAGGATATACATCTCAAGTTACGTATATTGTTCACGATATCCACTGAGTAAGCTTATGCCTTCTGAAGTTGCTTATAACATTTTGGTTAATGCTCTGTTTTGGATATTTTTATTGCTTATAATTGCAGTTAAGTGTAATAATGCCTAATGGCACGACGTTATATGCAGATATAGTTTATATATGGGAATTTCTGAAAGGACTAGGGTAATGGATGACTTGGGTGAGACCCTTACCTTGGTGTCAGGGAGGTAGCATGGGCCAGGACTGCAGTCATCCCAGAATTTGCCGTGACGGATGCCAAAAGAGTATGCGGGGTATTTCTGGTGTGAACTGCGAGGATCATGGGTATTCTGGCCAATTAGTTTCGGTAGGCCATAGGCTGGGCCAGGGCTGGTGTACATGGCAGCGATCGCTCCTCGGGGTTTTGTTTCGTTGTGCGCCATTGTGACTGCCTAAGATGGAACCTGATGAACTGAACAGAGAGAAAAAATATATTACATTTTATGGAAATTAAATACAAGTCTGGATTAGATATTAAACCAATGTCATGATCATCAAACCTTAATTTGGAGACCTTTATACTATCACCGACAGTTTCTGTTTACCAAAAGCCTGAAGCATTAACCATTGCAGCCACCAATGTAGAGTTACCAAGGTGTTTAATAAATCGATCATTCAATATGATTTATTAGTATGGAATGCAATACATTAAGTGCGTGATTATTTCGGATGCTGTAAAAATTGAATTTCGAGATCTATAATATTGCACGCTGGAACATTTTCTATGGAAACGTTTCTGTTAGTTTAATTATTAACAGCTACAAACATTTGATTTCATTGATAAATAGTTATGCATTTTGGATAGTTCTATTAGAAATCAAAAACGATTACGTACGAAAGTGTAAATTGGCCTTGGTAATTTCATTTCAATAGTCATAAATCTCAGTCAAAAACATAAAAGCAAATATTGTGGCTCTACAACGAAAATCAAAAACAAAAACTTTTTCTGAGAACTGAAAACAACAAGTATATGAAAGTATTGAGTTTGTAATAGTTGTTTCAGGACGAATGTCATAACTGCAAAGCTAGCAAATTGACGGAAAACTACCGGCAGATTTATGCAATATGTGTATTGCGAGACTTTACGATAGATATGAAACGTCCAGTCTCGGTTATCTCACAAAATAGACCCCGCTGGGCGAAAACGGAAAGAATACCATGATAAGTACACTGAATATCAGTGAAGACACCAGGTGTTCGCGAAAAGGGTAAGCTTTCTCCGCCCTACCGGTAGCACCCGCCACTCACACAATACATTCTCATACATTCTAGATCCTTCAGTTTGGAGAATGAATTAGTTCCAAAAGTCTTGCAAGCTATTACACTTCTTAATATTAGTTATGCCAACACTTCAATTATAAGAGGTAAACGGTTCATTACTAATGTTAACGAACCCTGCTTCGATAGGTCAAACGTTTGCTATTGCAAGAGGGAGAACGTACCAAACTTGGTGTATTCCACAGTTGCTACGGTTGTATGACCGATGGTCCTCGCAGTACGTGTGAAGAGGGTGACAACTTTTCTTGTTCTGAAAAACCCTCAGCCCTGGTATATAAAGCCACCCCTTAATTCTCTAATCGCCTACTAAGCTACCGGTCCGCAGACAGAAGCTTACACCGCAACGTAGCAACCTGATGCCGTGTCCCTATCAACTCATCGCTAAGCCGAAACGAATAATTAATCCCACCTATGAGGTAAGCAGTTTTTACGTATACTGTAACGAAGCTTATCAGATTACAGTTTCAGAGAGAGAATGAGGTTTAGGTTCACTTCACAACCACTGCCAACAGAACTCACCAGACTCGTCTATCTTAATACCGTCGTTTGTGAACCATGGATGAGCAAGCCTTGCCGGACATAAGAGACGGCACATTTTTGTGACTCAGGGTTGATATATGTATACTTAATTATATGTGTTCTGCAATAGATTTCATATTGACTGATAATTATACGCCGATGTGACCAAGTGTGCATTTTATCAGTGAGTGACAAATACATTCTGATAATGTTCCAATATCGGGGCGTTTTTCGTTCCAAAGGGTTATCACCAATCATTGTTATGTGCATGGATGTCTAGGCAATCGATAGATCGATGTATTCGCCCAATGATGTATTCAGCTTCTGTATAATAATTTGTCTTAATCGTCCAAGCTGTTCTTGTTTAGGGGCCGACCATTCGATTTTCCGGGGGATGGGGTGCGGGGTGAATTCTTTAAAAAGATTATGCTTCATTGTGGTGCAATGTGTTTTGTAGAAATACAATTGGCTCATAGTTTTAATTAAAAATATATCTGGTTTTGCAGCTGCAGTTGACGAAAATATCTGGTTTCGATACAAAATTGACTATCAAATGGTCGGCCCTAATCAATATTCAAGCTATATGACGGCGATCTGATCGCAGTCGAGTATGGACCAGACAGTCAATCAATACGAAAAGCATGGGTTATTGAAGACCAGTTCTAACCCGGATCTTTGCGGGGACTTAAGTGGCATTGCATCAGACTGACATGCATTTGTTGAAATATTTGTTTGTTGTTCAACGCCGCACTCATAAATTTTCCAGCTATATGACGGCGGCCAGATTGACATGAACGTAGACAGTAAGTGACCAAACTCAAGGTTTATCCAGCTACGATAACTGAAGTAACTATATACATCGTATGTTGTTCCGTTCCTTCTTACAAAGCCAGAGTAAAAGTGGCCGTGGTTCCTAGATTCTCTCCGATTATGAACATTGGTCTGTCCGCATCTTACCCCGCAGGTGGATTTCACTAAAGTATAGGATCCACCCAGGTCTCAGGTGTGAGCAGCGAACGCTTTAAACTAGCCTACCGATAGTTCCCTTTTGAAATTAAAATGAATGATTCACCCGCAACCAACAGAAACTGATTAGAGTTGTATGCGTATTATTAACCAATCAAATGAGTCTAAACTGTCACTTAGGATCGATACTGTGAGTCAAAATCAGATCCGTTTTTCGGCCTCCATCGCCCTGCTATGGCTGGGATTTTCTGAAAGCGATGTAACCACCCACCTACCAACTCTCCCACAGCGTTGAAGAAGGCGCCGTTTCTCGTGGCCATTACGTTGGGCTTAATGATCCAGAAGGACAGAGGTTATGGAATGGAAACAATCTTTCAAGAATATGTCATCATCTCCGAGCATACGTTCTTCCCTGAATGTGCAACTGCTCTGTATGCGTGAGAAATGCGGGGCAAAATCCGACCACTGTGAAGGCTACTGTTGAACATGAAGAAAAATCAAGTTAACAATTAATGCTCCTGTAATTTCAAAATGTACAATGTCTCAGTGGCCGTAGTTTGCACAGGATTTCTCAGGCATACAAACATACCAGTATAGAACATTCAGCAAAGAACATTTCGTAAAAGTTGAGGTGAAAATGGGGTTTAACGTCGCGTCCAAGATTATTTCACTTATATAGCGACGCGCATACACGTGTGTGTGTGGCTGCTTATACTAGCCCGGACTGATGCCGATTTAGACTGCAAGCCCACTGAGATACCATGCCGCAGTTTAACATGAATACCCCACTCAGACACAGTATACTGACTCCGAGGCGACCAGTCCTTGTTTTAGCCCCTTAATGTCGAGCGCCAGACAGGGTAAGAACAAGTACCATCATTTTAACGAGATTTGATATGAAGCTGTCGGGGATCGAACCCACGACCTCCCGCTCTCCGGGCGGACGCTCTACCACAAGACCACGGAGGCGGTCACATATGGTTGGAGGTTAAATGTAGCAGATTGTAGAATAGTGTATATATGTGTGATTAAGTGTGAAATACAGCGATTTTAAGGGGAGAAATATTTTAATTCATCAGGCGAATTAAATAAAATAAATTATGTATATAATTCCTTTTTCTCGTGAACTTTTTATAAAAAACTGTCTGGGCAGGGAGGTTTTGATAAATACATTTTGCCGTTTGTCGTATATAATAATTGTAATGTACCACATATCGTCTTTTGGTCGGCTCGAAGTTTAAGGAGACGGCGAGCTCAATTAATATCACCCCTCTCTGTAACACGTCTTGTGTAAAACAAAAACATTGTTCAGGGCGAAGCAACTTTAGGTGCGGAAGGGTCATGAGGAACAAGTATTATAATAGTCTCATGAAAGAAAAGTGTCATTTCTGTGACAAACTTCCAATACCATGCAGGGGGCAGGGGTGGCCCAGTCGTCTAAGGCGCCGCGAGTTGCGTCCCTTGGGTACGCCAGAAACCTATCATTGTGGCTTCGAATCCCGGTTCGCCCCGATTATGTTTCTAGGTTTGTCAGCACCATACCCGTGCTCGTGGGTTTCACCTGCATCACTTCGGGCTTTCCTCCCACATTGAGCTGACACGGAATAACTGGAATACTGTCAAAAGCGGCGTTAAACCCAACTCACTCACTCACTCACTCACTCAATCCAATTCCATCAAGTCATAATATAAGCCTGGTGTGGCGGTATTGGTATTGTGACGAGATAAGAAACAAGACATTTAGTGAATATATTTAAACGTATTTATTCTAAACTATGTTTCATCATCAAATGTGAACGATACAATGACGCCTCAAATATCTAAGTACATTATTCTTTTTACACATCTTTCTCGAAAGCTGTACAACTGATTTCTATATTTTATTTTCAAATGAAATTATTACAATAAAAAATAACATTATATAATAATACATTATTGCGATTCAACTCCCCACAAATGCGATAACCATGAACAAACCTTTAATGCTTCGTTTAGACATTACTTAATTTACATATCATCTCGTGCACTTTGTATAGAATGTGGCTGTTGCCGTTTTACCGATACTTATTTCACTGTTTGAAATAACAAAAATATGTTATTAGTATCCTTAAATCGAAGGCCTATTTTTATCAATTTTGGATTTTATCGTTTTTATTGTTTTTCCTGTTACCGTTTTCGTATATTTTTATCGTTTATTCCATTTTGCAATGATCAGCAAATACAATCAGTGCAGCGATGACATGTGTATACGAGCGTAAGAGACCAATAAGGAAGTTATTCCGCCTGTCCCCTCTTGAGATTTTGTACAAACTTCGTCGCTACATGGCTGAAGAAATGCCGATGCGAAGTTAATTTTAACCCACTCACTCACTGTCCCATCTTCACTTGCTGCCTTGCAGGGTGCACGCATGATCATATTCACCGCCGTTACGCCGGCGCGCCATCTCACCCTGCATCCCTCACCCTGACCCCACACGCTTTACATCAGGCTTGCAGCCCACTCAGTGACCCCGATCATCACAAACCCCAAGAAGGGCACCAGTGCCGGAAGTTGGCTGAACAGTGAGCGCCACTTTGTTTCGTGGGAAGGTGATGCTGGAGGCGGGATGGCCATGGCTGCTTCTTCTCTCTCGGTAACTGAAGCAAATGTAAACTTATAACATGATTGTGATTTACCTTGTAAACAGACAAATCAAAATGCCAAACCATTCAGTTCACTGGACATCACTATAACATTATATAAAAGTCATATAGTCACGTGGAAAATACATAGCATGCTCAACGAAATAACGGTGACGATTTCCAGCCTCGGTCTAGAAATCAGAGCAATCTCTAACCGCTTAATTGATCTACATCATTAAATGTGAGTTAGCAGACCAATATTGCTAATATTGCCAATTGACGCCTTTAAGAAGCAGAGAGTCACTCACCTGCAAAATACTTGTCTTCGACAGTAGCATTTGCGATCCATTTGGTTGCTACATCCTGAGGCGCATTGCACGTCATCTGGCTGTAGTTGGCGATGTTCACTTTGGTCATGTCGACGTTTCTGTACATGGACACAGGGACACGGTGTTGGATGAGGGACTCGCTGTTCCATCTGGCTTCTATCACAAGACGCTCACAGTTGGTCTTCAGATGACGGTTCCAGCGCTCCTCCCAGCGTCTGACGGCTCCAGTCTCAGCGTCCAGAACCACCCACTTCCAGAGGTAGTTGACAGAACAGTCCAGAACAGTGTGAGCAATCCAGCACCCGGACTTATACGGGTTCTCTCTGGCGCGGATGGCGTTCTCTGGCTCCCAGGACCCGAGACAGGCCTCAGAACCCGCCACAGCCAACACCTCTCCTGGCTGACACTGGTATCGAGTGCGAATGTCTGCTCGGCATGTGCGGGAGATGAACTGAGAGTGTTTAAGACCCCATCGGACCTGCATAGTGCCGCCGAAGAAGTTCAGACTTGTCCTGCAACAGTTAAGTTCACACATACACCAGTCAGAAATTATTCAGTGGGAACGAATGTGTCCGTACAATCAGCTCTGTTTGAAGAAGCTGCGGCGATTGCACAACTAAACACTGGTTCTAAATTTGGACCGATAAATGTTATTTATCATACGAGAAGAAGTCATGTTTTTGAAAGATCAGGTAAAGATAGTTACATTATTATCCTTCAAGGACAAAATAAATATCACATTCATGTGTGAAGTAAATCAAATTTATCTGTGTAAAATACGGTAGGTGCAGGATAAACAGTAACAACAATTATCATACATTAGATGGATTATCATGAGTAGGTACAGTAATAACAACAGAAGGATTATTTTGTAAAAAGATGGGCAGAGAACACGGATGAGGACGCCAATTAAACCGGTTGGAAAAATACTTAGCTGGGATGATTGGAAAACCTACTGCTAGGTAAATTTACAGTAGGCGGATGGGATGAAACAGCCTCGACCTCTTTATATGTGTACTTGGGCGTTTCACGATGTACTGATTTGATTTGATACTATATTAACTGATACTTGCCACGGGAACATATAGGGAAGGCTGCTCTTAAGACACTGATTGCATTAGAGCCTTTTATGGAAATAATTGACAACGTGCCATCAAACGTGTGTATGTTTCAAACACCCTGTAGGCCCTAGTTAAGCTGACGTAAATGTATTTGTACACATCGCGGCTGATTTCGAAATAAAAAGGGGTAGGAAAGAAAAACGGACGTATTGTATCCATCGACTTGGGGAATTGAGTTGACACAGTATACCCAACTGATCACATCGCAAATCTCATGTACTTGGGTGGAGAATGGTGCATGCTAATAACGAGGGTATGGAAAACTCACTGTCTGTTTCTAGCAGGGTCCCAGTACAAAACCTGTGAATCATGCGTTGTCACCAGCCACGACCACGTGAACGTGGCCGATATGGGCAGATAACTCGTCACCTTCCACACGTCCTGCTCTGTCTCCGACGGCCCGGCAGTCAGCGTCTGAGGGATGTTCCAAGAGCCAAGGTCGGGGATCGAACCCAGGACTCCGAGTTTAACCCGGCTATCCGCTCTCATCGCGGCCTTCACACCAGGGGGCAGGCCGTAGACCTGAAACACGACCTGTACAGTCAGGCCTGGCATCTCGGGGAAATACACACTGACAAAATAGCGACAGTCAGTTGAATGCGGCTGTGTATCTAGGCAGATAGACAACAATAACGTCACGTGACACGCAGACTCAACCTCATGGTGTGACGTCATCATAGAGATACTTTCAAGCTGTGACGTCATTGTGATTATAATCATGATTCAATTGTGACGTCACGTGTTTGTGAAAGCAACGAGCAGCAGCACTCTGCTCGTCCCAGCCCAATATGACGTAGTCTGATGAATGAGAAATGTGTACCAGTGTTTTGTTTGTTGTTCAACGTAGTCTGTAAATAAGCGAGTTTGGATTAGACAATCCAGTGACAGACAGCATGAGCATCGATCTAAGCATTGGGATACGATTACATGCATCAACTAAGTCAGCGAGCCTGAACACCCGATCCCGTTAGTTGCCTCTTACGACAAGCACAGTCGATCAAATGTGGCTACATATTTTAGAGGCTTTTTCGAGAGCAAAACAGAAACTTGGACAACATTTAACACTTTCAACCAGTCTTTCATTTTTCCACCATGGAGTTAAAAATTCAGTAATATGCAACTCGGTTAAATTGGAAAGTCAGAGGTTGACCCAGTACCAAGCAACCGCGATTCTCGCACAGCGTTGATTTTTCAAAACTATGCGTCTGAACATAAACTCGGCACCCAGGATCCCATCGGTAATGTAGTAAATCACAATCAGACCCGAGTTGTATGCAACTCGCCGCCGTATGAATGGCGAGTTTTATACAACTTCAGTCCGTACAACTTATTGCATACAACAAATTGTATACAACTAGTTGTACCGTGTGAATGCCCCTTTAGTCCCCTCTTACGACAATGCATGGGTTGCTGAAGGCAGTTCTGACCCGGATCTGCGACCAGCCGAATATACCGATTTTCCTACCAGCACATTTATTATTTCTTCGTTCCATTGTGATAAAATACTCTTCACCACGCAACTGTAGGGTCCCGACCTAAAGACACAACCTATAAAAAAACCGTCCAAGCAAATAACCCCGTTCTTTCACAGTTGAAACAAGCTGGAATTACACCAGAACTAGACTCAATTTGTTGTGTGTCACCTCAAGTACAACTTAGGACACCCTGTAGCACAAGGACAAACCTTCCGTTGTCTTAATACTCAGAATAAAACATTATTTCCAGCTAAAACATTATTATAACTATCTTGTAATTTGATTAATAGCTACGAAGGCTCGCTCTTACGAGGCCTGAAATTTAAAATTAGATGTATGCCTAAGTCCCGTTCAGAAGAGCCGTTCTGATTGATTGTTGATTTCAACCTCATGACCGAGAGACATTCTACGCAAAGTTGGTGAAATGTTTGTCGATAAGATTTTAATCGGGTTATTTATTTACAAAATATGTTTAATATATATGCGTTTAAAATATTACAATAATGACAACCAAGTGACAGGGGAGGAAATATTCCCTCTTGGCCTGCAGAAACTGCATGATGTAAGAGTGAGTGATTTGTTGGGTTAACGCCGATTTTAACAGTATTCCAGTTATATCGCGGCGTGTCAGCTTAATATGGGAGGAAATGACGCAGGTCTCAGACGTTTACCACTTCGGTGAAACCCACGAGCACGGGTATGGTGCTGACAAACCTAGAAACATAATCGGAGTGAACCGGGATTCGAACCCACAATCATAGGTTTCTGGCGTGCCCAAGGGACGCAACTCTGCACAGCGAATCGCGGCGCCTTAGACGACTGGGCCACCCGTGACCCCTAACATGATGATTGTAAGAAACGAGTAGAACCGTTAAAATAGTTTTTTTTCCTGATTATATTCTTATGTAATTAGTTCCGTTGCTGTTCTTTCAAGCATAGGCGTGTCGAATGAAAGATCTCCACCAAGGCATCTGATTTGTTTCCTCTCAAAAACTGGCGTGATTGAAAAACACGATTATTTCAAACATTGAACATTCATTTCAACAACAAAAGGGAGGAAGTATAAATTCTCACTTTACTCCAACGCTCACCACTTTCGGATGAGCGCGGTTTGATATCTAATTTAACATGTCATCAGAACAAGTATGGTTGACCGTAACTATATAGAAACAACAGTCGTGCAAATATAAAAATATAAATATCAGTATCCCATTTTGTTTTGGTGTCAATGAAAAGCAGTATCTTATTAAAAGGAGACTAAACGAGAACCAACTGGCGGTTACGTTAAGTCCACTTAGTCTGATTAGTTTCCTTTGCGTGATGATTATCAATCTAGCGGTCAAGGATTACCACAATCAGAGACACAATTCATTCATATGCGGCCGGAATAGCCTCTGTTTTCGCGTTCGACAGGTGGAGTCCGCAAAAATATTGCAAATTTTAAGTTGATAATTTGTTCGTTGGTATTTTCTATACATTACTATACGGGCGGTGAAATTATCATAACAATTTTATGTATTTTAAAGAATGAAAGATTATATCATTTCTTCCCAGGTGCTTATATCACTTTATTGAATTGGGAGTGGGGGTGAACTCCACACGTGAGTTGAAATAACGTGATGAATGTGATGAAATGGGACTTAACTTTGCAGTTTTAGTTATAGTTTTACAACTTTGGTATTTAAAATAACGAACTGCTAGACAGTATATGCACGTATCTGACTGTTTAATTTGTGCTTTCATTAGATATTGAAAGCCTGCATATCATGAATAGTCTCAACATAATAACGGTTACTATTGTGTCGTGTATGTTCATTATAATCTGTTGCACATTTCGTAGATTTTTTCTAGGTATTTGAATTACATTTTACAGTGATAAAACAAACATTTCTTGGTTCCAAATTCGACATACTTGTGTCGGCTAGAATGCAGCTGAAATGTCACTTAGATGAAAGAATCTCCTAGCTCCTATCTTTGATGATATCGGAAGCAAAGATTGATGTCGAGGTGACACATTAAACGCTTCATGTCATATGCGTGTTTTCGTTGATTGGACAAAGTAAGAAAAATTCTTACGCAAAGCATATAGCATTTGGCAAGACAGTTACTGTAGACAAGGTTGTGCTTAGCTTTGTATATTCAAAAACATATTGACGGGATGAAGAGCTAATGTTTAAGGCTTTTTATCTTCTCGCCGAAGAATAAAATTTACAACATAAACAATGTAATTGGTGCAAGTGGTAGTAAAATCACCACGTGCAGTACAAAATGTGGCTTTAGTGAATCATCTTACAAAACCCATACAAACCAAAGACAACATGAAATATAAAGCATGCAATAGGGAGCCTACAGTGATTTTTGTCCTATGGAATGTTTAAATTTGAGAATCATCTCCCGAATGAAATGCAGTTTTAGTTTTGCACGAACCAAAATGGCTGCGCCCTTGACAAGGCATGTGCCGGTTTGTGTACCAATGTTGCAACAGATTGGATTGTTATCCAGATTGTCAACAAGCACAAACCCAGATAATAACAACAAGAAGGTACATCCATCATATAGTGAGCTGACGCGTTATTAATCGTATTTAATTATAGAAAATGAGACCTACGTGTAATATGTCTGTCCTAATTTCGATCACTTTAGATCTTCAAAATTGTATTTCTGAATTATATTGGGAGTAGCTTGGAGACTTTGCCAGGGCCAGGGTCTTTAAATATGAGTCTTAACTGATAAGAACACCCACCTAATATACACATCGTCATAGGCACGATACGCAAGCATACGAAAAAAACCAAATTGTCAGCTTTAAATTATCTTTGTTTGAAAAAGAAAAAAAACAAAACACCACGCCCCTTCCATCGGTACAAAAACAGTTTGTATCATGGGGACACAACACTGTTTGCACGAGTCAGATAGTCATGAACAAGTGCATGTGCACAAATTGTTTCAGTTACTATAAGAGGCCAGTGTTATACAGCCACGTTTAAACAAGTGTTAGTCACAGCTCCAGGTGCATATTTGCATAAAATATGCAAATTAAATCACCATAATCCAATCAATTTTGCGTTGTGTGCCCACAAGTACACATGATAAAAAATTAATAACCGAAATGAAATATATAGTAAGTAAACAACAGGCACATGTACAACACTGTATTTCCCAGTATAGCATAAAATTTTCAGCTTGCGTAGGCATACACGCATATATATTTAAAGATCTTTACTTACTGACTGAATACAGGCATCATAAAAATACATGCAGTGAATTATCCACAGAATAGAAGTAAAATTAATTTCAAACATGTCATTGTTGTACAAAACCCAAGAGGGTAAAACTATATTGAATACCAAATAAAATAAGTATCAACATGATCAATACCCAATCTGAATGATAACATCATAACGTGAGTGAGTATGGTTTTACGCCGCTTTTAGCAATATTCCAGCAATATCTCCACAGGGGACACCAGAAATGGGCTTCACACATTGTACCCATGTCGGGTGTTTGGCGTGACGAGTGAACGCTTTAACTATCAGGCTACCCAACCACCCTTGTGAGCAAATGACAAATGCTAAAACAATTCTCTTGAGCACTTGTTAGTTGTTTGTTTTCTAAACGTTCCACTCCATGTGACAAAAAGTCTGTAGAGGATTGTTGGTTGTATATACTGAGCTGTAGATAAGCTTTTGGTTATTTGGGTATTTTCCCCAGGGTTTTGATTTTGATTGGGTATTAGTAGTGGGACGATATTCCGATGCATCGCTGGATTGCGATTTTTTACTTCTCGATACAAGTATCGATCACAATCGCACACTAAGTAAAAAGTATCAATTCTTACCTAATATGTATTTTTTGATAAATGTTACACCAGTCATTGGATTACTAGTGACAATAAGTAGTGAATATGTTCATATTTTCATCCACTGCGCCATACTTGACACTGCCAACTGTAAATTGTTAGTGTGCAAGGTATTTGGCTGTCCTGTCTATTAAAAAAGATGGCTTACAGACCACAGCTAAGAGCACATGCAAGTATCGTGATACATATTGGATCGTGAGCAAGGTATCGTGATACATATCGGATCGCACAGTTGGTGTATCGTCCCAGCCCTATTGGGTATCCACAATTTTAGAGGGTATTCAAATCTTTTTCACCCACCTGTTTCTTGACATTTGGGTATTTTAACTTAAAATCTGTTTTGGTACATTCCCCTTAATCATTTAAAACTATGTGAATAGTTGTATAACCGCAATGATAACCCGCTGATACACAATAATGTTTTCTGACAGTTGTAATATATGCAATTTTTTATCTAATAGCTGTAATTTTATTTCAATAGCTTGTTTATAGATTTTGCTTTAAAAGAGTAAAAGAGAAAGAATTGCTAACTAACAGATGCAATTCTTTTTCAGGCTTCCAAGTTTGCACATTGTCCCCGAAGAGTATTTTCTGGAATACAGCCAACTGGCATCCCTCACATAGGCAACTACGTTGGCGCCATTAAGAACTGGGTTCAGCTGCAGAAGAAGTATGATGATGTCATCTTCAGCATCGTAGACCTCCATTCAATAACAGTACCTCAGGATCCAGCTGGCCTCAGGTGTGACATCCTTACAAGCCTTGATGCTGTCATGTTTATAGGACCCGTGAAGATCCGGGGTAGAATAGGTCTTCAGCAACCCATGCTTGCCGTAAAAGGCGACTATACTTGTCGTAAAAGGCGACTAATGGGATCGGGTGGTCAGGCTCACTGACTTGGTAGATGCATGTCATCGATCCCAATGTGGATTGATGCTCATGATATCAATCACTGGATTGTCTGGTCCAGACTTGATTATTTACAGACCGCCGTCATGTAGCTGGAATATTGCTGAGTGCGGCGTTAAACAACAAACCAACCAAAGCAATGTCATGTGTATAGAGGCACAGAGGTCCAGTCGGCCAATCTGCAATGAAGACTCCCCAGGACTCCCCAAATGTTGTTTCAAATCCTTACTCATTTTCTGTTTGTTCGCCCAACCAAGGCCCAGGTTTAATTCCCATATTGGCCATGATATTTCTAAAATTGACATAAAAACATACTTTATCACTCACTCAGATGTTATGTCAATCAACATGGTAATGTTTCCTGTGAGAATTCATGGAAAAAACTTCTAAAGATTTACCATTTTTCTGAGAATATCTTTCAGTTCGAACCTGTGGGGATGCCTGTGCCCAGCACCCTATGTTTGTGATAGACACGACTAAATGGATCAGATGGCCAGACTCTGTTACGTGTTTGACTACATGTCTTTGTATCTCAACTGTGTAGATCGATGTTCATGATGTCAATTACTAGATTTATTAGTCTTCTTCAGACTCGATTATTTACTGACTGTTGTTTAGTAGCTGGAATTTGCTGAGTACAGCATAAAACAACAAAGAAACAAAAAACAAAACCTTTAAAGTTCAACAGTCATAAAATCCAAGGTAGATTAGGTCTTCAGCAACCCATGCTTGCTGTAAGAGGCGACTGAGCTTGTCGTAAGAGGCGACTAACGAGATCGGGTGGTCAGGCTCGCTGACCTGGTTGATGCATGTCATCGTATCCCAATTGCATAGATTATGTCCATGATATCAATCACAGGATTGTTTGGTCCAGACTCGATTATATACAACCGCCGTCATATAGCTGGTATATTGCTGAGTTTGGCTTAAACAACAAACAAACAAACTCTAACTGCATGCCCTCAAGACCAGCACGTTTTGTTTCCAGGGAGAATGTCCTGGACATGACAGCCTGCCTGCTTGCATGTGGTATAGACCCAGGGAAAAGCATCCTCTTTCAGCAATCTGCAGTAAGTGTTACCAGTATTATCACACAATAAGATTGTCATAAGTCTCATGATGAAGAAGATTAGGAGACATGCCAGAAAATATACCAGGCAAGCCTTCAACATGTTCAAGATTAAATATATCAATTGTCGGTGGCGGATCCAGAGGTGGGTTCTGGGAGAGGCAACACCTGCCCCACCTTTTTTTTTTACGTTTTGTATGCACATTTCCTACTATTTAAGATGTTTATGTGATCATTAATGTAAACTTATCAGTGTTTGAAATAATTTTAAAACCCACCAAGACAGTCAGACATGTGGCCCATAAATGTTGCCTGCCCATCTTCAAGTTACCTGCCCGTATTCAGACATTATAAATATTGAAAAATCATGAAAATTAAGAGACAATTCTTGTCCATGTTCAGTTGAAATTATGCAAACAATTACTTGAGAATCTACGAGGAGTTATAATAAAGCTGAATACATAAGTAGTCTTAAAATTATCTGCCAGACAGTCGGGCAGGTGGAAGACAACTTCATGCAGCCCGACTGAAAAGTTACCAGCCACGGTTAGGCGGGCCGGCAGCTTCAGACATTATGAAATATTAACAAGTGGCCCAAGTAAAACACTCTAATTTTAAGAATCTTGGATCCACCCCTGCATTGTTGTCCATGGTGACTTAAATTATGATATGACTCCCATGTGCATAGACATTTAGCAAGTTATGGTAGATTGAAACAGTGAGTGAGTTTGGTTTGATGCTACTTTGATCAGCATATTAAGTTAAATGTTGGTTTGTCAGCTTGATGTGGGAAGAAAACTCAACGTAAGTCAGATTTTAGACATTTTTACCAAGAAAAATAATCAGGGGAGGAATTCAAAACCATGAGTGTTGGTTTCTGTTAAGCCTAAGGGACACAACTCTGCACAACACTGATTGGGCTTAGTGTAAGACAGATTTACTTCCGTAAGGTGAGGTCGACCTCCTGAACATAATGTATGTGGGGCCTGTGTTAGAAAACTATAGGTGTAGTCGTGGTAATTGCCTGGGTGGCATTGATCTTTGCTCATGATTTCAGTCACTGGTTTATCTTGTCCAGACATTGAGAGGCCACCATCATGTAGCAATAATATTGCAGGCTCTAGGGTATAACAACATTCAGACCCTCACTAAGTGTGTCACGATGACCCTGTGTTTTTTTCACCGGTTAATCAACTCTGATGATGGACCAGTTGACTGAAGCAGACCAAAAATCCCTGTAATTCACACATCCAAAAGCATGATATGAGGGAATATCATTATTGTGCTGTTAGTAAATTGAACATCACTGTCTGTAGCCATGGCAACTCCTCAGGGGACTTATTGGGGAATATTAAGAGCTGTGCAAAATGAGTCCACCCGTGCCAAACTTGACTGGAATTTCAGAATTATATTTTGTCTGGCCCAGCAAGTGCATCATCCAATTAAAATCGTGTAACTAAATTGATATCCGGTTCGTAAACATGGCTACTGACGAGCAGATTTTGGTCGATTTTCAAGATTTCCAAATCTTTTCATGTTCTTTTTAACGTGCTCAAATGATTTGATACACTTCGCGAGACTAGATCTATTTTATTACAAGAAAAATCTTGATTATTGATGAGATTGTCTTGCCTGGGCACCACTATTCTGATTAAATCAAATGCAAGGGATATGAGAGGTGGAATCTGATTTGTCAGTAGGAGGGATATAGAAGGGACATAACTCAAGCCCTACTCACTCACAATCTCTCTATAAAGTGTACTTGTATATGTTAATCAGGTGTCCCAGCATGCAGAGCTGAACTGGATATTGAGCAGCCTGTGTACTCTACCTCGACTCAATCATCTGCCCCAGTGGAGGGTAAGTGTCGTCACATTCTCGTCATAGATGGTCGGCTCAGAGTCTGTATAATGTGTCTGAGTGGACCATCCATATTAAACTATGTCATGGTATTTCAGTGGACTTACACTTTAAAACTGGCATATGTCTGGACTAATACAAGCAGCCACACACACACCTGCATGCACATTGCTGTACATGGTAAATAGACCCGTGAAGATCCAGGGTAGAATACCGGTAGGTCTTCAGCAACCCATGTTTGCCATAAGAGGCGACTATGCTTGTGGTATGAGGCGACTTACGGGATTGGGTAGTCAGGCTCGCTGGCTTGGTTGATGCATGTCATCGATCCCAATTGTGTGGATCGATGCTCATGTTGTCAATCACTGGATTGTCTGGTCCAGACTCGATTATTTACAGACCGCCGTCATATAGCTGAAATATTGCTGAGTGCGGCCTTAAACAACAAACAAACAACATGTTAAATAATTCTTAACGCTACATTTCACCTCACCTAACCCTGCCACACCCCACCTCACCCCACCCCAGATTTTCATGCCGCCTTGGGGTATTCATGAGTGGGGTATTCATGTTAAAGGGCAGCATGGTATCTAAGTTGGCTAGCTCTATTCCAGACTAGTAGAGGCAGACACACACATGCACACACATGCATGCACGTCGCTAACCCTGTTTCACCTCACATCACATTGATATTAATCTTTTTGTTTCAGGAGAAATCTGAAAGGCTGAAGGACCCCAGTGTTGGTCTGTTCACCTACCCTATCCTCCAGACAGCTGACATCATCCTGTACAAGTAGGTTCTCTCCACTGAATCAAATCACATGGATGTAACTGCATTCATTAAAGCAAGGGGCAGTCGGGTAGCCTTGTGGTTGAAGCGTTTGCTCGTCACGCAGAAGGCCCAGGTTCAATTCCTCACATAGGTACAATGTGTGAAGCCCATTTCTGGTGTCCCCCCACTGTGATTTTCCTGGAATATTGCTAAAATCGACGTAAATTCTTATCCACTAACTCACTCATTAATGCAAGGTAGCACACATGCCCCAGTGGCACTGCAGCCTGCTGCAAAGCAAAACAGCTTGACCCGTGCTGGTTTTCTACAAATCTCATTAAATTCAGATGTTTTCCTCCATGTACTCCGATATGGTATCTCTGTCTGTTAAGACCATTTTGTTCAGAACTTTTCTTTTCTTTCCCGAGATCCCCAAAGGGCTGATATGGGGGCCTCGGGGTGATATGGGGTATGATATGAAACGGTCATCTAATGACCTCTAAATATCATTACCTTGGGAAAATAGAATGCTGCTCATGCTATCACCCACTGGTTTCACTGGTTTATTTGAAGGCTGTAATGACATACATTGAATATTGTTGCCTGCAGTATGTAGCATTCAAATTGTCTATGAATCAGATACATACAAGACCCGTGAAGATCCGGGGAAGAATAGGTCTTCAGCAACCCATGCTTGTCGTAAAAGGCGACTCTGCTTGTCGTAAAATGGCGACTAACAGGATCGGGTGGTCAGACTTGCTGACTTGGTTTATGCATGTCATGGGTCCCAATTGCGCAATCACTGTATTGTCTGGTCCAGGCTCGATTATTTACAGACCGCCGTCATATAGCTGTAATATTGCTGAATGCGTATCAAGCTACGTAATTGGGAAATGGTGACATGCATCAACCATGACGTCACACAGCATAACCATTAGATCTATATTCTTTCCTGGAAATCCCATGGGTAAGTGGTGCATTGATGAATAGTTGCAGGTTGAACACAACCAAATGTTTTCCATAGACTTCTATAGAAACGTTATATCTTGAAAAAAATTAACTAAGCATTCACCAGCTATTACATGTACATGTGTGCACAGTCTGACCTTAACACAGCATAGTTGCCTTTAACAGCAAGCATGGGTTCAGCAACCCATGCTTGCCGTAAGAGGCGACTATGCTTGTCGTAAAAGAATACTAAAGGGATCGGGTGGTCAGACCCGCTGACTTGGTTGATGCATGGCATCGATCCCAATTGCGTGGATCGATGCTCATGATATCAATCACTGGATTGTCTGGTCCAGACTCGATTATTTACAGACCGCCGTCATATACTTGTAATATTGCTGAGTGCGGCGTTAAACAACAAACCAACAAACCAACCTTAGCACAGCAATAAAAAGAAAGTATCTGACTGGCTTAATCCTTTTTCAGAGTACACAAAACACATCACCCCACATCCGCACCAAATGTCACTTGCTTGAAAATATCCGTAGTCACATTCAGCATAAGACATCATTAAAAAAAGAAAAACACAGTCTTTTTAAATCACTGGATCGATGTACATTTAAAAACATATAAATCTTACACAAAATCCTCCAATCACATGTGAAGGCTCGCTACAAAAACTGTTGGTCGGAAGCTGATTCTGATTTGGTGTAGAACTTGTGCAGCCTTTGTGTCGTCGAGTCCTACAGAACATCAGTAACTTGCATTTTGTCAAAACAAATCAGAAACAGAATGAAGTCGTTATTTGGAGCATGTCACCTTGAAAAAATCTAATGACTCTACTTAGTATCCATCACTTATTTGTCTGTCGAATGTTTTGCTTGCCAGGGCGACGGACGTGCCCGTAGGAGATGACCAGATACATCACATCGAGCTGGCCAGAGATCTCGCCAAGGCTTTCAATAGAACATTCCAGGTCATATTTCCTAGACCTGAAGTTCTTTCAAGTAAGATGTTTTTCATGAATCGTATCTGTATCAGATTCTGTCTTGGATTGGCCACATTAATAGGATCACTGTCAGTGATGAATAATTACAAGTAAAACTGTAAAGGAATTTCATCTGACATACTCTGAATTCCCAAATCTCATGTAGAAAGACATTAACACCAGACTCATTGATGAAAGAAATAGGAATCATTATTTGTGTACTGCAACATAATTTGATCTGAGTAAATGTAGAGTTGTGTCCCTTTGAAAAGTTCACTAAAGGATTGAAGTTATATTTGTTGACGTTCATCAGCTGATGAAGACAGTGCCTCACATGAGCAAATTCCATGATGTGTGAAGCATTATAAAAAATTATTTAAGTTTATCAAAGCTTTTCTAAAACCCAACCTAAAGGGATTCCGGATATTGGCCTCCAGTAAGCCAGTAAACTTTGTATTATACTTGGGTGGTCACACTCGGTGATTTGGTTGATTTCGATGGATTTAACACTGAGTGTAGATTGAAATGTACCATTGCTTATGAAAGAAAGATGTTAATAAAATCCATTGATGCCTATATCATCAAAGCTATCATCTAATCTGTAAATACAGTGGGAACATGTATCAACAAAATTTGATACTCTTATCAGTGAAAAAATGGAAATAACTTGATAGTGATTGGTACCTCATGAAATCATACTGTTTTTCCCTTCACGTTTGTAAGTGAATTGTATATGCTGCTGAATATTTCAGCTCCATCATGATGGCCTGTAGATTATTGAGTGTGGGCCAGCTGAATAATCAGCTTTTCGCAGGATGAATCAGCCAGGTCACACACTACCCAATCTTAATAAGTCAGGCTCGTGCAACAATCATGGGATAACATGGAATACCCACAGGGTAGATCATTGGATGAATTATTCAGAAATTACAGTGACACCATCAGCCGGTCACACACCACTCTTGCAATAATCATGGGATAACATGGAATACCCACAGGGTAGATCGTTGGATGAATTATTCAGAAATTACAATGACATGATCAGCTGGTCACACACCACTCTGGCAACAATCATGGGATAACATGAGATACCTACAGGGTAGGTTGTTGGATGAATTATTCAGAAATTACAATGACATGATCAGCTGGTCACACACCACTCTTGCAACAATCATGGGATAACATGAGATACCTACAGGGTAGGTTGTTGGATGAATTATTCAGAAATTACAATGACATGATCAGCTGGTCACACACCACTCTGGCAACAATCATGGGATAACATGGAATACCTACAGGGTAGGTTGTTGGATGAATTATTCAGAAATTACAATGACATGATCAGCTGGTCACACACCACTCTGGCAACAATCATGGGATAACATGGAATACCTACAGGGTAGGTTGTTGGATGAATTATTCAGAAATTACAATGACATGATCAGCTGGTCACACACCACTCTGGCAACAATCATGGGATAACATGGAATACCTACAGGGTAGGTTGTTGGATGAATTATTCAGAAATTACAATGACATGATCAGCTGGTCACACACCACTCTTGCAACAATCGTGAGATAACATGGAATACCTGCAGGGTAGGTTGTTGGATGAATTATTCAGAAATTACAATGACATGATCAGCTGGTCACACACCACTCTGGCAACAATCATGGGATAACATGGAATACCTACAGGGTAGGTTGTTGGATGAATTATTCAGAAATTACAATGACATGATCAGCTGGTCACACACCACTCTGGCAACAATCATGGGATAACATGGAATACCTACAGGGTAGGTTGTTGGATGAATTATTCAGAAATTACAATGACATGATCAGCTGGTCACACACCACTCTGGCAACAATCATGGGATAACATGGAATACCTACAGGGTAGGTTGTTGGATGAATTATTCAGAAATTACAATGACATGATCAGCTGGTCACACACCACTCTGGCAACAATCATGGGATAACATGGGATACCTACAGGGTAGGTTGTTGGATGAATTATTCAGAAATTACAATGACACAATCAGCTGGTCACACACCACTCTTGCAACAATCATGGGATAACATGGAATACCTACAGGGTAGGTTGTTGGATGAATTATTCAGAAATTGCAATGACACGATCAGCCGGTAACATACCACTCTGGCAACAATCATGGGATAACATGGAATACCTACAGGGTAGGTTGTTGGATGAATTATTCAGAAATTACAATGACACGATCAGCAGTCACACACCACTCTTGTAACAATCATGGGATAACATGGAATACCCACAGGGATGAATTGTTCAGAAATTACAATGACACGATCAGCCGGTAACATACCACTCTTGCAACAATCATGGGATAACATGGAATACCCACAGGGTAGATCATTGGATGAATTGTTCAGAAATTACAATGACACGATCAGCCGGTCACACACCACTCTTGCAACAATCATGGGATAACATGGAATAACTACAGGGATGAACTGATCAGAAATTACAATTCCTTGAAATGTATGGAGACTGGTACAACTTCGTCCTCAAACACAGCATGATTGTAAATGTTTCATTCTTTGTTATCTTCTCTTCAGGTGATGCACCAAGGATCAAAAGTTTGAGAAATCCAGAAAACAAAATGAGTAAATCAGAACCAAATGCAAAAGGTCGCATCGACCTGACAGACAGTCCCGATGAGATCCGAGAGAAGATAAAGAAGGCAGTCACTGACTTTACAGCAGTGTTGTCCTATGAGCCCGAGGAAAGGCCAGGTGTGTCTAATCTGATTGACGTCCACTCCTCGCTCACTGGCCTGGTGCAGGAGGAGATATGCGAGGAGAACATGTTGTTGAGTAAAAGTGACTATAAAGCCAAGTTGGCTGACATTGTCATTGAACAGTTGGCTCCAATTAGAGAGAATGTGCTGAAACTAAAGGGAGATAAGTCTCACCTGGAACAAGTGTTGAAAAGTGGGAATGAGAGAGCCAGGGAAATAGCGGAAGAAACTATGAAGGAAGTGAAGAAGGCTGTAGGGTTGTCATGACAACAGCTAGCTCAGCTGTAATTACGGAACACTAACAAAGGACCAGTCTTAGTCATATTTGAGTGTTGTTCAAGAAAATACGCAATTGTATTGTATACATCATTCTATCATGAATTTGGAAATTACACAGTTTGTATTAGTCATTCAGGGGTTATCAAATCACAATAAACCCCCTCTGATTGAAACAGCCAATTTATTGACCGCATCACCATGGAAACTGATATTTAATGAACAGAACTTCTGTTTCAATCATAACCAGTAGGCATTTCAAAATAATTATGTGTATAGTTATAGATTACTAAATGCAAAGTTGCAGTTACTTCAATATTCAAAGTGTGCATGGCAATAGTTGAAGAACATGTTGTATATGCCTATGTCAGTTTGAGTGGATGCTTTTATGAAACTGGAAGAATGGACAAAAACTACTGAAAACCATAACAAAAATGGAACATCGAGGTGATGGTATCAGCTACCCAAAACACACCGCTGAATGCAATCAGTGGTTGCACATGCAATACATTACAAGTAACAATCAGTGTGTTATATTATAAAATAGTTAATTTCAGATGCAACTTAATTGCACTCTTGAAAATTGAAAATGCGATTTTTTTAGAAATATTTCTGTGTGACCCCTAAATAATGACACAGTGTAACTGAATTTTACCTTCGTGCTGTTTCTCTTGATCATTTTCAGTCTGGAATTAATGTATTCTACAAAGTTGATATGTTGCCATTGAGTGATTTTGGGAACTTTATTTTTTGCTTGGTTGATCTGGATTTTGTAGAAGAACATTAAGCTGTATAATCATGATAATAACCCAAAACTGTGACTGCCATATTTGACTCTGAGCTTAGGTTTCTCAACTTTTGATAGGATATTCTATCTGAGTGTCTAGCCTGGGGACATGGATTGAGATAAATATGTTTTTTATATTGCCTTGGAGCTCAGACAACTTGAGTTTAAGAGATTCAAATAAAAATAAACACAAATATTAAATTCTCTTAGTTGTTATTCTTTTCAATACTTTTCTGAAATATTTAATTTAATCATCCAGTGGAAGGTATTAGTTCAGGAAATGCAGCAATGTGTGACCTCCTCCGCTTTCAACCATTGGTTTATCTATTCCTCCTTTGCTATCAACCAGTAGTTTATCTGACCCTCCTTCGCTATCAACCAGTAGTTCATCAGGCCCTTCTTTGTCATCACCCAGTTGTTTATCTGGTCCTCCTTTGCCATCAACCATTAGTTTATCTGGCCTTCCTTTGTCATCAACTAGTTGTTTATCTGGCCCTTCTTTGTCATCAACCAGTTGTTTATCTGACCCTCCTTTGTCATCATCCAGTTGTTTATCTGGTCCTTTGTCATCAACCATTAGTTTATCTGGCCTTCCTTTGTCATCAACTGGTTGTTTATCTGGCCCTTCTTTGTCATCAACCAGTCGTTTATCTGACCTTTCTTTGTCATCACCCAGTTGTTTATCTGACCCTCCTTCGCTATTAACCAGTAGTTTATCTGGCCCTCCTTTGTCATCAACCAGTAGTTTATCTGACCCTCCTTCACTATCAACCAGTTGTTTATCTGGCCCTTTTTTGACATCAACCAGTAGTTTATCTGGCCCTCCTTTGTCACCAACCAGTTGTTTATCTGGCCCTCCTTTGTCATCAACCCGTAGTTTATCTGACCCTCCTTCTCTATCAACCAGTTGTTTATCTGGCTCTTCTTTGTGATTAACCAGGAGTTCATCTTGCCCTCCTTTGTCATCAACCAGTTGTTTATCTGACCCTTCTTTGTCATCAACCAGTTGTTTATCTGACCTTTCTTTGTCATAACCCAGTTGTTTATCTGACCCTCCTTCGCTATCAACCAGTAGTTTATCTGGCCCTCCTTTGTCACCAACCTGTAGTTTATCTGACCCTCCTTCGCTATCAACCAGTAGTTCATCTGGCCCTTCTTTGTCATCAACCAGTTGTTTATCTGACCCTTCTTTGTCATCAACCAGTAGTTTATCTGGCCCTCCTTTGTCACCAACCTGTAGTTTATCTGACCCTCCTTCGCTATCAACCAGTAGTTCATCTGGCCCTTCTTTGTCATCAACCAGTTGTTTATCTGGCTCTTCTTTGTCATTAACCAGGAGTTCATCTGGCCCTCCTTTGTCATCAACCAGTTGTTTATCTGGCCCTTCTTTGTCATCAACCTGTAGTTTATCTGACCCTCCTTCGCTATCAACCAGTAGTTCATCTGACCCTTCTTTGTCATCAACCAGTTGTTTATCTGGCCCTTCTTTGTCATCAACCTGTAGTTCATCTGACCCTCCTTCGCTATCAACCAGTAGTTTATCTGGTCCTTCTTTGTCATCAACCAGTTGTTTATCTGGTCCTTCTTTGTCATTAACGAGGTTTATATGGTTTATCGAGATAGTACCAGCATATGCTAAAAACATCATCTTTGGTCATAAGTGTGTTGAAAGAGGTTCTCTTGGAGTTGAACATTTTAGCCAATTTTATGATAATTTTTGTACGGTATATGCAAACCTTTCCTTGATTGTATAATTTCAGATTTCCAGCGATCTGTAAAGGGCCCTTATCGTACCTCTTCCTTTACTGATTGTGTGTTGAAGGGTTAGTCCATCCAATAGATTGATGTGGATGTTAAAAGTACTACAGGGTTTTCTAGTTCAAGTGTGTTCGGATGTACAAAATGAGTGCTGAATATGGATAATTCCTCAGATTTGGCTGATGAAGATGTTTCCTTTCGCCTCACGGCATATATCAATGTTCACACTGTTGATCACTCGCTTGGCAGCGCTCTGTAGACCACGTAAGTAGAAAATACGCTGACTGCAGGATTAACTTCAAACAAGCACCACTCCCGTTCCTTATTTTTTTTAAACAAATCTTTTTCACGAAAGTATCTACTTCTACACAATTATGCTAAAGATCTAAGGAAGTGTTGAATGCTAGACTTATCAAAAGTACCCTTTACAGCGAGATAATTACATTTACGACTTTTAACTTCCCTGTACTGAAAGCCAATGCATGTACATCGGCAAGTTCATAAATCAAACTTGAACCGTTTCATGTTTTAAAGTGTGTTTTTACATAATATTACATTTCACAGACACTTCAACCGACAACACTCCAATTGCTTTACCAACCCGCACGAAGTTTGACTAGAAAGATATTTACTTACTCTGTGTCAACAAGAACCTTTCATTTTGCCGAGATGGGGATTATGTTTCAAGTTAAAGTAAGTTGACAAAGCATTTAGGGACTAAGTACATTTAAGGAGAACCAAATACTCAAGAAAAAATAGAGGCTTTATTTTGATATATTGTTCTCGTACTTTACACGAGTGCATGTGGTTATCTTTCTGCCCTGCTTTGAGAAAGTGACCTGACTAATCGCTGCCTAAACAATATGACACAAGGCGAACAAGAATACGTGAAACTTAAAACCATTCAGAAATTCACAAGCTGATTCTATATTCGCCCTAAGCTATTCAAACACGGCGTTCACCAATTATCAGAAGTACAATCTTGACCACTTGCTTCTACAGGACTTGTTTAACTGATCGGTACGATTGCGTAAAGCATGTTGTGTACACTGATCCGACAGGGTTTTCTTTAGAATTATAAACGTATTTATCGAATGCTGTCGTACCCTGTGTATAGTCAGACGCAAGACGGTTAAGTGAATTTTTTAAAAAGGGACTGTCGGTCATGTTCAGAGTACAGGATCATATATTCTCCATGTTCCAATTGTACACCTGTGTGCTTGTGTTTGGGATTTCTTCCCACGGCGTTTTCGACATTTAGGTCGAAAAGACATACAGTCTACGTTTACGTGATCGGAATATGATATTAGATCTCCAAATCATCGAAAGACTATGTCTAGCTGCCGTCAGACTGTAATTGATTTGTGAAGAGAGCAACAATTAGCATCAGGGACGCAATGGATGATCTGTCGTACAAGCTCCAGGTGTTTCACACTGTTAACGAATATAAGGCCCATCGTTTAAACAGGACCGAACAGTGCAAACTTGAATCTGCTCGGACCTTGATCCATAGGGAGAAGACTCTCTATGAGAAAGACTTTCAGCTTCGAGTTCAGAAACTTAAAACTCGACAGCAAGAGATGAAAAGGGACGTGGATGTAGGCACTGATGACGAGAGGAAGGAGTTGCCCGATTCAGCGAGATCGTCATCGCTTCGATTCAGGGGCTGTAAATCTGCTCGCCTACCTAAGAGTGAGGAGTGTTCTCTATGTGACCGGATTACTGACATAGTTCTTAAGTACGAGGCAGAGAAGCGTCCAAAGAACACAGCAACGTATTCCACGTCTACGAATCTGCGCCAATCTGACAGCCATGTCAGACAGTTTCTGGAGTCTATAGAAACAACGGTGATGCCTTTGAAGTGGGACGTTACCTCTGGGAGTTTTATGGATGCTGGAAGAATAAATTTAGACGGACGTTGCAAAGATGGGATGCTTAGTATGAAGACTGATAAGAACCCAGATATAAACCCATCTCAGAAAAGACTGATCAGAGAATCCACCAAAATGCTTCCACCAGACGACATGGGTCACGTGTGTACGACCTTGACCTCGGCCAAAAGTCGACGAACGTTTCCCGCCAAGATTGAAATTCAAAGGAAGGTTGGCGAGTTTGTACAGTCACAAGAGGTGTACAATAGGTCGAATCCTATCAATGAAGACATCGTTGTTCAGTGCGAGGCCTTTCGTCTCCATAGCGGCAACAGGGTGGACCGAAAACCACCACATTTCGTCAGTAGGCGGGAAGCCATGATTTCTGAAGTCTTGGAGAAACTAGGAATGACAAGAGCCAACTAGCCATCGCACGGTTGCTTCTTTTTCAATGTTGAACTTCGATCGTAAACGACAAGTGCAGCTTCACTTATTGTTGTAGATCCATGTCCAAGCGAAATGTGGATGGTGTCCTCTTGGATATTCCTGCAAAACGCGATATGTAAATCAGGTACATCAGTTAAGGTCTGGTATCAGACATTTAACGTTTAGTGAAAGTTGAATGCTTAACATATGCAATATGCACGCTTTTTGTACTTTAGGCCTGAAACCTATAGTGACAGTCACAAACCGCAGCTGATCAAACTGTTCAAAATGAACAGATACGAAACAATCCTACGTCGTAGCTGTGCAAAACGTCACGCAGTATTATGGAAACAAGTCCAGGTCCGTTAATTCATGCGGCTATCTGTTCGCGAGGCAGCGGAGAAAGCACAGAGAAACAGACATCGATATTTAAGTTACATTTTACTTTTCATGAAAGTGGTATGTAATCGAATGAAATACTTATTCTATGACAAATTCTTGTGATGGAATTTTGTTGCTCTTATAATTATTCTTAGCAATGACAAGGTGATTACATAGTGTTGTTTTTTTTCAACTGTTTAAGTCAGACTGTAATATAATCGATATCTTTTTAATCATCCTTAACATCTTCCTGCATTTCTCCCCTACCATCACAATGGTTGGATAAACGTCATTTATCTAATTTTATAACGGATCTGATAGTTTACCCCAGAATCTCTCTGAAATAAGAACCGCCTTACTCTCAGGATCTACAAGTGAGGTTGGTTGAGCAGCAGAGTAGTTTATTTGTTCGCTCGCAATGTCGAATCCCCATGATTGAAGCCATATTTTGGTGATCCCGTCGTCATAATATTTCAGGAATATTGCCAGAAGCGGCGGAAGACTATACTCTTTTACGCCTTAACAACACAATAAGTTGTGCGAGTCGTGTATAACACACAATGTAATAGTACTTCAGTAATATGACGGCGTGGCAGCTTAATGTGGGAGGACATGCCAAAATGATTTTAGCGATAACTACGAGGGATGATTAAATAGCTTTATCTGTGGTTATGGGATCATTTCACTGACTTAGTCAAGAACCTCTTCACAGCGAATTGCAGCACATTGGATCAATGAACCACCGGTTTTCCCTTTAGTGAGTGAGTGTATTTCAGTGATATCACAGCGTGTCAGCTTGATGTGGCAGGAACGCCCGCAGTGATGCAGGTGTCGGACATTTACCACTTTGGTGAAGCCAAAGAGCACGGTACGATGCTGACAAACCCAGACACATAATCTAGGCGAAGCCGCGATCAATATTGTCTGGCAGATCTAAAGGACGCAACTCCGCTAAGCGAATTAAGGAGCCTCAGACGACGGGGCCACCTGCAGACGGTGATTTTGCTACATGGTAATTGTATGATTGTGCAATGTCGTTAAATTTTGTCCCAGTTATTGTAGTGTTCAGTCAGTAGTGGTGTTACGTTTTATGAGAACCGCGACCATGTACCTCAGGGACGAGTTCATATGTCCACCCACACGCACGCAGAGACGCAAGCAGTTATACTCGCACTCTAAAAATATAATGAAAATTATGATATCCTCAAAGAAACTTTCGGAAATAATTTTTTAAACACAATTCATTGTTCCTCCGCACAAATATTTTCAAAACAAAGCAAACCGGTAGTTGTGAAGAGGCCACACCAACACCAACTAGCCATTCGAACCGAACCATGCCCTTTCGCCTGACGAGGTAACACATGAACCATTATCATATGAACATCATATGACACTTTTCACAATGACATGGTGAGTGAGAACCTGAGTGAATGTTGTTTTACGACAAAGTCATTATTTAGTTATATTACGACATACTGAAAATAACTGAATCAGAAACAGGCTGACAGGTGGTTGATGGTATGAACACAACACCGTCAGACTACAGTGACCAATAATCAGACATGTCACACATTGTGACCATTCGCTCCCCATTAGTCTAGTCTTTCAAGCTGTTGACACTGTTTCTTCCTAGGAGTTCCCTCAGGTGTCAGAATGACATGGATATACCTACTTACTTCACATTGGGGCACGGGTGGCACAGTCGTTTAAGGCGCCGCGATTCGCCGCGTTGCGTCCCTTGGGCACGCAAAACCTATGATTATGGGTTCGAATCCCGGTCCGACCCGATTGTGTTTCTAGGTTTGTCAGCACCATACCCGTACTCGTGGGTCCCACCGAAGTGGTAAACGTCTTAGACCTGCATCACTTCGGGCTTTCCTCCCACATTAAGCTGACGCGCCGCGATATAACTGGAATACTGTTAAAAGCGGCGTTAAACCCAACTCATTCACTCCTACTTCATATGATTTCCACGGTTAAGTGTGGTCTTAGATTCAGGTTCCGCTTACTTAGGGTCGTGTGCAGGTGACTATGTGTCGTTGTCCAGCATGAACCGCGACATGTTACAATTGTTTTGGTTCCGTGGAAAGCAAATTCCATACATGCCATGGTCATTGCTGTGCAAAGATATCCAAGGCAACATAATTCGCCTGTACATTGTTTTCCTCACGCGTGCCCTGATCTTATTATCGTTGGTTGGAATCCCAGATTCGACCTGATTTAATTAGAACAATGGTTTGTCATCACGATAAACATGCCAGTGGGTTCATCAAAGTGGTAAACGTCCATGTGGACTCTAGTTGCTGCTCGGAAAGTTTGGATCAGTTTCATGTTATAGGTGCATGTTACAGTACGTTTTCATTTATAATTCAAATCAAATCAGACAATGTTATACAAATATTCAGAATAAAATATGTTTTGAACATTTTGTAGAAGCTTTGACCATTTCAGAACGAACAAATGCCGTCATCTATTGTGAATCATCTCAAATCCACTGTACATGGCCTGCAATAATTCACGACTAGGAACATAAGAAACCTGTCCAAATTCTGTAAAATCATGGTGTCATTGTTTAAATCTATCAAGTAACTCTCCCTCTTTCTGAATTGCACATATATTGCTACCATAGTAAATCTGTATAAATATGCATGCATGCTCGGCCAAGATGTTTTTGTATATATTCTTTATTTATATGTATATGTTTTATGTTGTTGAAATAATTTTGTACCTCTGATGCCGCTGATAGCGGCCTGAGCGTGAATAAAGTTCAATTCAGATTGTGCAAGGTTATCACTATGCTTTTTACAAGCTGTTCCCAGCGCTGTCCCAGATCTATAAAAGGGCTTAAGTTGCCCACATGTTTTGTTCTCAGCAGTGATCGGGCTACGAAAGCAAACCGACAGCTATGGAGAATATCCTGAAGTTGTTTTGGCTTATGTTTTCCTATAATCAGATATGCATGGGTAAGTTTCGATACCTTCAATTCTAAATATTGTACCTACAACTGTAATTGTACATTCAGCCATGGGTGGGAAAAATTATCGATTGTTATTGGTCATCAGGTCCAAATCACACTAACAACCTCTGTTTGAAACAAATAATTTAAAGGCTGCATCAGCTCACAAGTTTTCTCACCAAGTGTCGGCAGACATATTGAAATAATGCTATGTACGATTATATGTGACGACACTGGCCAGAAAACACGACATAAAGCTAGGACTTTGAGTGTCCAAGGTTAAGTAACATTGGAGCGCTGGAAATTATAGTAGTTTTGCATCCGACCATGACGTCATATTTTCAGCGTCACAATGAGCGACGTGAAGTCGTAACAAAGACGTACTGTGCAGAGCTAAACTTGGAAAGGCTTGCTCACGTTGTTTACTGGTGCCCATTTATGTTGTTTACGAAGTAGTAATGTGTAATTACACTCTTTTAATGCCTGTCACGCATGGGGATAAAGTACACTGATGCAAGGTATCAATATGTGTTGGCACATACAGCGCCTTTGCGTTGAAAGACTATCATCGGCTTTTCCTTGAATCAGATCAACAGCCCACAGCTACGTGTTCGGTGCCAAATTCAATTTTACGCAGGTAAATCTACTGGTAACCTAGCGCTACATTTAAAGGCACAGCATGTTTATCTCCAAAATGTGTCTTCACATGTATGATACAATCGAGACAAATAAGCGACACGAATGACGTTTTAATCAACGAAAACATAATTTCACTTATGATGTATTGCAGCTTTCACGGATACAAAAGGAAGAACATTTTCTCTGGCATTCTTTCCCGAATACATCACTCCTGCAACAAGTGATCTTCGAAACATTCTGTACTTCTCATCCACCCTTGACGGTGGTTGTACTGTGAACTACAATGACGGGACAAGACATCAGACTAATGTGCATGTTATCGCGGGCGATGTGGTAAAGCTGGCTTTACCTGACACAACACAGCTCCTAACTGGAACAAGAGTTGAACATAAGGCCATTTATGTCAACTGTTCCACCGAAATAGCTCTTTATGGCCACAATAAATACGCTCTTGGGAGAGACACCTCAGACGCATTCACTGTTTTGACAGATGAAATGTTGTCAACGGATTATCTCGTTGCAAGTGTCGAGAAAACTGCAAACCTTGGCGTTGTGGCCACGCGAGACAATACTACTATTTCAGTGACCCTCAATGCAACATGTGATTATGTATTCAACAGTGTACGATATGGAGATGGAGATACAGTCAGTGTTACACTTGGTTATGGTGACGTATTTCAGTTAGGTTTAGCATCTACAGATGGTAAATGTGATTTAGGAGGAACCCGAATCCATTCTAATCATCAAGTCGCAGTGTTTTCTGGGGCTTTGTATGTCTGGGAACTTGACCTTGCTGCAGGTCACATGGTCAGTCAGGTTCCTCCAGAGAATGCATTTACGAAAACAGTAATTGCACCTAAAGTCGAAACTGATGAACCAGGAGGAATGACGTTGCGTGTATTGGCACGTGAGAACAATACAGTTGTGACTATAACAAGGGAAGAAGCAAATGGGACGATAGTGACTTCGTCTACATCACTGAATACAGCAGAGTTTGAAGACATCAATTCCGATTTAAGCGCTGACGTCATTGTACAGAGCAACAGGCCGATAATGTGTATCCAGAACATCTATTTCAGAAGAAGAGGAGGTTCGTCATTGTTTGTGCCAGGAACGGACCTTTATGACAACAACTACATTGTAGAGAGTTTGGATTTGGATGGCGTGAGCTCAGATGGCCCTTTTATTACTATCATGTCAGAGGTGTCATCATTTATGGATGTTCGTGTAAATGGCCAGCAACGTGATGATATCAAATGGACTAATCTCACCACGGTACCATACGCTGTTGGCGTACTAAGGATACAACCCAAACAACCGTATGTTGTCAACAGTTCATCACCAATCCTAGTCAGGCTTCACGAAAGATTATACCTGGAGTCATATAGCTACAATGCAGGATATCGTCTTCCATCTTTTCCAAAAAAGCGTAAGTTTAATATCCTTTTTTAGAATTGTGTTCTGTGCGAAGTTGATGACATACTATCATACTACTTTTACGATTCCCAAATTTAAACGCGGTGGTAACCCCGAAATCGGTACGTACTGAACTAGATTGTGAAATTAGTAAATTACCCCCCAAGATCAATGAACAGTCAACACATTGTATTGACGTACACCGGATCAGGTTTACAATAATCATAAACATCAATACAGTGGATCAAAATATTTGGCAGTAGTGATATACAATAGCGAGATAATCCCAATTACATAAGTCAGTGCACTCACGGCATGGATAAAGAATTTACATTACACTATGACAAATACCCGGTTGCATTTTAACAGCTTTGACAAGTAATTTTTTTTTATTTGTCTCACATGGTCTCGCACGAACTTACAACAATTCAGTGGAGGCACTGCAGTATTCTGGCAGACATGTTGAGTAAATGTTTCAGTAAACTTTGAGTAGACATAACCAAACGTGCATTAATAACGGACAGAGGTTAAGTTGGAACTTAGTAGGATTGAATGCAATATTTTGTCATTGAAACACCCTCTGATAAGCGTAGCATGTTGAGCATCAGAGTGGGAGGTACCATTAGCATTATGAGTGAGAGACACGTACTCAGTAATATGTGATGGGGGTCAATGCATCGAAAGATTGTATATACACCTGGTTATACAATGACCTATAGCTCGTCACATTGCCTGCGTCATTCGTTTCTCGTCGTACCAGCGTACACCACCATGGCCTGTACAGCTACTGGTTCACCGGACAAGGCAAGACAAACGTGACTAAGTCATTGCATTTCAATCAAATAACTTAAATATTCCCTGAAGAGTCATTGATATGGTTTTCGTGTTTTTGCGTTTGTTCATTTGTAGGTTACCCTGTGAATTATATTTTTAACCTTAAAACCGGGATTTGTCTTCCATGTTATATAGCTTAATAAAACCACATGACGTCTCCAATGAAAGTTAAATGAACGTCATTGCAAATAAAAGTGACAAAACCATTTCCATAGCCACGAGAAATCTTTGTTAAAAGCAGAGTCGTTCTTAGCATACGATTAAATATGTAAACATGTCCTATCAACAGAACACTGCCGATCATTACAATGTAAGCCGCCTTTGGCATTACGCCAGTAATATGACGTCGGTTTGACGAACGAATGAACACTTAAATGAATAGGCTACCCAAACGCCTCTTCGACACACTGAGCTTGTATATATTGTCTGCTATGAAGTGTTAGAATAATAAGTGCTAATTGTGTGTACATATTTTGTAATTACTTACTTCATTGTTAATTAAGCACTAACTTGGCACCTGTATGTGTTCAATATACCCACCTCTACTTGTATTTCTACTGAATGCATACACCTTCTACTTGTTCCAGTAACAAATGCCATCGAACTCAAATGCTTAGCAAAGGGCTGGTTTGTGACGCTAAATGTAGATGTATTATACAACGTTACCCTGTCTCACATCTACATGGGGCAGAGCAAGTGTACCGGAACACTTCATGGGAATCAACTCATATTCAACCAGTCTTACACTGAATGCCATACAGAAACAAGTGTAAGTACACATGGATGTGGCAACATGTTTCTTTGAATACCGTATGGTATCAATAGATGCAGCATATGTAATTGAAGTGCAGCAACCATGCTAGGTTCTAACCCTCTACTAACAGGCAGCTGCTACAGTTATGTAATCGTTTTCTAACGCTATCAGTACCATAAGTTACAAACGAGTTCCATTTGTGCGATAAACACAAGATCATACCAATTGACGACAGGGGTGTCGCGTAAAAACCTTTGTAAATGACTTCATCAATAGTGGATCTTGCCGAAACGATTGGTAAAATATTCGTTTATAAGGGCCGGCATGGTCCGAAACAATGACAATTTGAGGGAGTCTTGACCGCTCCCCTTGCAGCACGTGGCTCAGTTCGACTAACGTAACGGGTGGCCTTTGACGTCGCCGTAAATGTGTCCCGAGCATGTCCCAGACGTGGAACGTGCATGTCCTGAGCATGTTTCAATGGTGGAAATGTCAGGACGATACGTGCACTGTGGGCACGAACATTATCGTCTAGAAAGACAATACGTGGACCAGCATTGTGCACAAACCACACACTACTGGGCCAGTGGGTTCTTTCAGTAGGCCGATAAATACCATTTTGTGTCTGAAAACCTGTTCTAAAGTCTGTAGGTCAAAGACGAGACACATTAAACATTTTGGCTACTTCTCGCTGAGTTCTACGAGTTTGAAACATGGCAATAGCCTAAAGCGTCTATCACATTGAAGACAACCCATTCCCAATCTGATCTCAAATACTGCATTAAAGTATGAGTAGAGAGCTAACTTGTCTCTCTGGATAATGAAAATCAACAGAACGAATGGCCCAGAGCTAATTGACGACATTTCACTGAAATGTCAAAAGCAATTATCACCCCTACCCACGTGCACCCACATACAATGTTTTGGGTGTCATGGGGAGATAGGTGTCCGTTCTCAAGCCGTTCAATCTCTAGCAGACATTTTTTCAAAGCTGATCGTATTTCTGTCTACCGATGAAAAGATATATATTTCATGATCCCTACTATATTTTGAGAGTAAATGTTTATATGTCTGAAATTCAGCAACACTGGGAAGGATACATATCATATTTCAAAATCAGTCTTCATAATTTGCATGACAACCTTTTTGTCTATCATATTAATAATTTGAACTCATTTCCAACCGTGTATGTTCATGTACCCTTTCTGTGTCTTAATGTTCTAGGTTTCCAACGGCATGGTTATGTTCAAGAATAGAGTCATGTTTGTGGCTCTGTCCCCTGACAATGTGGTCAGACATGTCATCTGGCTGCACAGCATCAGTTGTTCGGAACCAGTGGATGGAACAAATGCTGTCCTCATTTATCCAGATTTCAATGAAACAGTAACTGGTAGTTCCACTGGACACATACAAGGTCCCAGCTTCGACATATCTCTTTTCAAAGACGCTTCATATCAGCATCTATTTTCTGGCAACCATGCCCAAGCTAAGATCGGAGAGCCAGTGTATGTTCAGGTCTCCTCATCCGTTAGTCCCAACACCATCATGGTGTTGCGTTCCTGCGACGCCCAAATCGGCAATGGGAAAGAAGTACCTCATCCTCTGATTGAAAATGGGTAAGTATGATCTATCATTGGATTTATCAAAAAGGACAAGATGGTTACTTTAAATAAAGTATAAATGATATAAATGATTTCATTGGATTTATCAAAAAGGACAAGATGGTTACTTTAAATAAAGTAAGCAATTTGACAATATTGATGGGGATCCTTGAAGACGATATTTTGTAACATCCGAACAAAAGAGCATGACAATTAACTCTATGTGGCACTGTTTGCTGTTGTTGTTTAACGTAACAGTCACATTAACTATGTAAATATGTAAATAATCGACTCACAACGATGTGCGGTCACACGCAAACACCTAGTAACCTTGCCATTCGATCCAAGTAGTCGCTTCTTACGACAAGCTTAGGATTCAGGGGACCTATTCTCTAACCTGGTTAAGTGGCTGCATTTTCAAAATATAGTTGTATGTTTAGAAAACTCATTGGACTTTGTGTAACCATGCGTACAACATTGTACTTATTCAGTACACATTATTATTATTATTATTATTATTATTATTATTATTATTATTATTATTATTATTATTATTTTATTTTTTTTTATTTACGGATTAAAATGAAAAAATGCAGCATAGAAGGTTTTGGTGATCCTGGCATAGTCAGGCTGGTTAGGCTCATCATCAGCTCAGGGCTTTGTCCCCTCTACATGCTGGCCAGACAGCGAATGGGACTTCTCCCAGCAAGTCAAACCCTCCCTCAACTTTTCAGAGAATGTGAAGACTCCCCAACACTGCAGCCTTCTGCATTACCCATATTGTCAGAAGGGCTGTATTCTGGGTAGCAAACCCGGGTACTCTCCCGATGTCAGTCAACATAATGGGAGGTACTAAACCTAATGCACCGAGAACAATGGGGAGTCTGACAATTTGGTACTTGGGATGCAAACGTGACATTTTGAAAGCGAGGTCCGCATATTTGTCATGTTTTTCCTCACAGGGGACAGAAAATTTAATAATATAAATGATTTCATTGGATTTATCAAAACGGACAATATCAGGTTTGTTGGCCTGGATACGCCTGAGGCTGTAAATGGGTTATTATTATAATTATTATTATTATAATTATTATTATTATTATTATTATTATTACAGGTGTGCTGTCGATGCCCGCACTCAAATTCTCGTGACGCGTAACTCCGTGACCAGGTTTGAGTTTGAAATGTTTGACCTGCCTGAAGAACAGGACGGCATCTACGTCACTTGTCACGTGACATTCTGTGACCAAAGTGACTTCTCCGACAAGTGTAAGCAGCAGTGTCACACAAGTCCTCACATCATTGGCTAACACATATTACATGAGTAGATGTGTCAAAGTTAAATAAGTGACTCCAAAACGATTAAATGGTACAGTTGTCTGACGTGATGGGCGAGGCAGGGGTATGTAATTGTCTTATAGTGTAGCTTCAATACGATAATTAAATACGATATTATTTGGTGGATATTAACATGTGCATATGTGAGTCACATCTGTATAGATAAATCGCGGGATTTAATTTGGTTCGTGTTACATGTGTATGTTTGTGTTAATGTATCAAGACAACTGATTTCTTGTTTTTTTAATTAGTTTTACCGTAATTGTTGAATATATGTAAAGTATGTAGCTTCAAAACGATCATTTGGAATTTGATTTGTATATTCAAATATTTCATGTTTATGCTTATGTCAAATATGTGCAGGCGTGGGATTGTGTATACGTTTCATGCGCGAATGATTTTAATGTACAATTGTAAATGTACACTTGCTACGTCCTCAGTGGTTAAAGTGTTATATTTCAATAAATGCTTTGGTCTTTATTTGTCAAAAGAACTTTTTATGGACTTTTATTTTAAAGTTTGTACAAGTGAGATGTTACATTTGGTTTGAAATGATCTGTGGCTGTTTTAGAGAGGTGTAGTGTTTCAGTTTTGTCTTATTCCATCGTTATTGCTAGGGATATATTTCCTCTTTCTGCTTATTACATTTTGAATCATTGAGATTAACATTGGCAACTCTCATTTCCCTGTCTATATTAGTCTGGAATTGATTGAAAAAAAAAGGGGGGGGGGGGGGGGTCAGTTTTTCGAAATTGTTAATTCTCAAGGATGGTAAAAGGTGTCGCACGCAATCGGTATCCCAACGCATACATCTTGTATGCATCTCGCTTTGTCACTCAATAAGAGTGGCTTGTGGCGGGAACCTTCTTTCATCTAGTGAAAGGTGGAAGTACTACGACTTCCTGTCTCCTGTCTCCTAGCTATAGCCATGTCTCGAGAAGCTTCTACTGTCGGAGTTCTTGTTAAGGCCGATATCATTGTCATTGCTGTTCAAAGATATATATGGTATCAACGTGCGCTGTGCAGAGTTTCCCTATGTTCTATGATCTAATTATCGTTGGTTGGAATCCCACATTCGGCCTGATTCAGAACAATGGTTTGTCAGCAAGACATACATGCCAGTGGGTTCAGCAAAGTGGTTTACTTCCTTGTGGACACCAGTTGCTGCTCGGAAAGCTTTGATCAGTTTCAAGTTGTCGGAGCATGTTTCCTATAACACGTGTGGGAGACTAGGGACAAAGCCCTATCTTAAACGTCAAACATTTAGGCGTCGTATTACAGACATACATATACATTTAAAAATTGACTTTCATTTTATGTGAGTCTATTGGAGTATGAACCTTCAGAGTGAGGGACAAACTGTATGGACGTCGGAGCTTGTTTGGCCCTCACTCTATAAAGGTTCATACTCCAGTGAACTCATTCCTTCGTTTTGATTACTCGGATCGGTCGTGGAGCGGATATTGTGAACGATGGTGCAGTCAAACACTCTGATTTTTCTCAATGTACACTATCACGTTGAGTTCAAGGGTCAATTTGACCAGGAACAACGCTTAAGTTGACATTTGAGCAAGGGAATACGTCGAATTGTGTCGTTCATACACTTATGAACGTCAGTTTTGGAGTTATTTGACCGACCTCTCATCCAATGGAAAAGCCGTATGTCATGTTAACTCCAAATTATAAAAAAAATACATAACTTATAGTAACTTCAAATATGTCAAAAGGACAAGCACCCTTATATATTAGATTACGATAATCGACACAAAAGACGACTGGTCAAGTCAAGGTCAACCCGAAAAAGCAAAGCCCTTCAAATTTTGAGTAAGAAGTTTCTTACTTAAACGACAGCTCTTCATCACACAGAAACGCTTGCTCCTTGGAAAACCCTCTATGATAATACGTTAAATATGTCATGTCTTTTGAAATTACTGCAGGTACATTCTGACTCGTCAGTCAGAGGTATCAAACCTCTATAACCATCACACCGCGGATGCTAATATGTATAGAAAAGTACTCGTTTCTCATTGCCGGAAGAGGTTTTTAAATACTTACATATACAATTATACGTTACAAAATGCAGACCATGTTTTAGACTTTGAAATATGGCGCTAGTCCCTAGCCGACTGTGACGTAATATGTTAACGTTGTCTTATCAAATGTCTGTGCTGCACTTTCAATGCCTGTTTTATCTACGGTAAAGTAAAATTATTTTGAACAAAAAATGTTATGTAACACCAAACTTTGTTTAATAGCTATTATCGGTGTTCACTTAATTCAGTTGGAGAACCCACTTAAAACATTGATCCAACTCCCTGTCGCTTTGCACAATACCTTAGCTGAATCCAAGGAGAATGGAGATACACATACGGTGATTTTAAAGCGGGGCTGGGTTAAATTAATGATTGAAACATTGAAAACACAATTACAGGAGCATCTGGGCTTGAGTCAGACGACCCGATAGATACCATAATTACATACCCCGAAAGCTCCCATCGCAAAGACATAGTTATATTTTAACTACCAGACTCCCTGCCTCCGACTTCTCAAACGGTTTGCCCAATGTGGTCGCAACTGGGTGCTTGGGGACACATTCTACCCCGGGTACGCAGGGGACACGTCCTTTCATGCAAAGAATTGTTTTGCATTCTTTTTTGTTGAACACCGAAAGACAGTGTTGACATTGTATCGAACTCAACTTAATTAATTCATGTGGCATGGTCATTGTTTTAATTCGTACATGTACAGGTCCAATTGGATATGCCGACTGTTTGGTTGTCTTATTTTGCTTTCGTTCCAAGATATACAAAATAACTTTATAAGTCTGACTGACAATATGACTCCAACGTTCATCACTTGTCAAAATACAAATTCGTTGTCTCCTTTGATACTTACCCTTTTGATAATAATTAAACACCTAATTATTGATCTGAAATGAAGTCGAACTTTTCTTGGATCCCTTCGATTTCAACTAAACAGTGTTAAACTTTAATAAATCTTGTACTGTCATTTCACATTTAATTCGATAGGAATTACCTATAATAGTTATTGTATTTGATAGATTATTAATATGAGACGCCAATATAATTTCTAGCATAATCACAGCTTTATCTCTATGACGTGTCGACAAAAGCATATAAGTTTCGAAATTGTTATTTTTCGAGGATGCACGCAATCGGTATCTCAATGCATCAAAGTTTATTACCCAAGAGGAATGTTGTGTGTAACCGCATGTCCTATACATTCCGAGTTGTTTTTGTTTCTTATCTAACTTAATTTAGTTTTTGTAGGTAAGTTTTTTTGCATGATTATGTTTTTCTTGCGTACGTCTCGCTTTGTAGCAAACACTGCTGTTGGCGGGGGGCCCCCTGTCATCCACTGTAAGGTATAGTATGATGACTTCTTGTCTCCTCTATCCGTGCCAGTTCTCAAGAAACTTCTACTGCTTGATCTACTGGCGGAGTTCCTGGTTAAGGCCAATGTCTGTACCGACTCCGATCTCCCGCTGTGGTATACATCTTGCACCACTTTGTAGTGGGTAATATTAGAGACACTAAACAGATTTGAACGGCATTAACATCGCGCGTGTGTCACAGACTATAGTTCCTTGTCGATTGTAAACTTTAGTTGATACCACCAGTCAATACGCCGTGATCGTTGGTTTGAATTCATCACTCGCCCTGGTCATGCCCTTTGGCTTCACCAAAGTAGCAAAGTAACCCATGCTTGCCGTAAAAAAGCGACTGTGCTTGTCGTAAGAGGCGACTTATGGGATCGGGTGGTCATCAGGCTCGCTGACTTGGTTAATGCATGTCATCGATCCCGATTGCGTGGATCGATGTTCATGATGTCAATCACTGGATTGTCTGGTCCAGAATCGATTATTTACATTCCGCCGTCATATAGCTGGAATATTGCTGAGTGTGGCGTTAAACAACAAACAAACAAACAAAACAAAACAAACATACCAAAGTAGCAAACGTCTCGACTCGCATCAACACGGCTTTCGTGAATTATTAAACTGAGATGCGGTGATTTAACGTAAATACTAATCAAGACAATACTCACAAATCAGGTAAATGACAAAATAAAATAAAGCCTAATTTTCAGATGTGGAAGACCAGAGTCAAGACAAATGGTGTCCTTCGTTATTCTCAACGTCAGTGTATATTCTGTGTCCACATTAGTAACGTTTCTCACATCTACATGACAACGGTAACATGAGTAGGAACAATACGGGGAGAGCAGCTCATATTCATGATCAACATGTCCTACAACGACTGTCACACGAAATCAAGTGTCTGTATCCGAATACATATTTTCTGCTTCTCAACGGACATGACTGAGATGAGTTGAGGTGAAATGGGGTTTAACGTCGCGTCCAAGATTATTGCACTTATATAGCGACGTGCATGTACGTGTATGTGTTTGTGTGGCAGCTTGTACTAGTCCGGACTGATGCCGATTTATAGTGCTAGCTTACTGAGATACCATGCCGCAGTTTAACATGAATACCCCACTCAGACACAGTATACTGACTCCGAGCCGACCAGTCCTTGTTTTAGTTCCTTTATGCCGAGCGCCAGACAGGGTAACAACAAGTACCATCTTTTAACGTCTTTTGGTATGACGCGGCCGGGGATTGAACCCTGGACCTTCCGCTCTCCGGGCGAACGCTCTACCACTAGACCGCGGAGGCGGTTGACTGAGATGAAACGTATTCAAACCATGGCTCTTGTTTCAAATCGGGGATTAACCGACTGTCTAACCAGATAAACACCTGACGGCACTACTATCCAAATAAAAAAGAACATGTGATTCTGCACATAAAATTCCATTCGCAGTAATAACATTTTCACGATTGTTGATACGGATATTGGGGGAGATGTTTATATCTCCCATCGTGCCGGCAGATGAAGTTGTGTATGAAGGGATTAACTGGTCTTTTGTGACGATCTTCGGGACCATTTTGCCGCGAACCAGAATCAGAATCAGTTTATTCTCAGAAACCACAAAAGGTGGCACAAGAGCATATTACAATAAATAATTATGCATATGTACAAAAAGCAGACAAGATGGCAATTAATAACAACATGTGATTACCTAGCATTTTTAATACCACTACACAATCCGACTCCTGCCAACTTCCTGAACCTCTTATAGAGTCGAACATCGTCACTCCTATGGCCAGTTGTGCGTGTGTTGCGCACGTAGCGCAGCGAGTGATTCGAGTAGAATCCTGAAAAAATGAAACATCAGTTTTCAAACAAGTTCATCTGCTCATCAGTTTCTATTCCTTTCGTCACTTTATAATGTCAATAAAACTAAATAGGCTCAGGAGGTGACTGGATATTAACTAGATAACATACCATCGGCCGATACCTTCTTTATTTACCATCAATTGGTTCATGATCGCAGCATCGCAGAGCAGTAAACATTAGAATATACTGCCCTCAAAAAGTAGGGGATAATCGAAAATAAATATGACGTACTGAACACAGGGAGGATCCGGATACACAGAGTGAACCTCTGACACACTGGCAGCTGGCCTCCGAACAAGCATTGCAGTGACGTTGCATACTCCGTTTTATCTCCGTCGTAATCTATAAGGGGTTTGCTGCTTTTCATCTTGAAGGGCCAGGCCAAGTACCGGAAAATCTCTGGATGGTGGTCGTTGCCACTGTACAGTTTGCGAAGCACAACCCATACGTGTTATCTAAGTAGAGGCAACGTCCGCTTCCAATATACGCTCTTCAAAAAAAGAAACGCACAGGTAGATTTTTAGTCAATGTATTGTACTTATAAAGTCGATATATTTAATTTAATATCATAGATACACATATGACATTTTGAAGCTCCATAGTCACATGTTGTCGTCGTACAAAGGCATTGAAAACTGTTCATTGTCATGTAACTTAAGGCCACAAGGTTGCGCTGAACTCAGTATCTCGTGTGACCGCCCCGGGCAGTAATCACGGATCTGCATCTCCTCGGCACTGACTAGATAAGTGTGCGAATTCTGTCCTGCGGAATTCTGCGCCATTCTGCTTGTAACGCGTTGGTTAGTTGTGGGAGTCTCTGCGGCGTGTTCTGACGTTGACGTACACGTCGATCGAGATCATCACAGAAGTGTTCGATTGGGTTGAGATCTGGAGATCTCGGCGGCCAGGGCAAGACGTTGATGTTGGCATTATGAGGGTAGTCCACCGTGACACGAGCTGTTTGCGGTGGAGCGTTGTCCTGTTGAAACAGCTCCCTCTGGCGGTCAATGTTTGGTAGAAGGTGAGGTTGAAGAATTTGATGATTCATGTAGCGATTTGCTGTCAAATATCCCTTAACCACAACCAAGTCAGATCTCGTGGTGTAGATCTCGTGTGGCGATGGATCTGTTCAAAACAGGAACGATAACTGGTCTCCTGGGTCGGATTTCAGCCTCGCAATGATGGTTATTGACAGTCTGGTCCGATATCCTCCTCAAACCAGGGATGCGTCCTGCAGTCTCCGTAGCTGTGGCATAGCGATGACTTAGGTGGAACAGTCGAATGCAGCGATCCTGAGCAGGGATGGTAACTCTTGGTCGGCCGGTTCTCGGACGGTCTGTAGTGGAGTTGAAATGTGTGTAACGGTCCCAAAGGCGACAAATGGTGCTGTGGTGGACGTTGAAGTGGCGTGCAACAGAAGACTGCAATTCCCCCTCTTTGGATACGTCCTGTGGCGATGTTCCGAAAGGCAGCGCTGAGTCTCTCCTTTTTCGAACTTGAAAAATGTTGACAATTGAATGACAAATTATTGGCTTATGCTTGCCTTTTTATAGCCACTACCACGAGTTACGAATGCCATAACTTGCACGTGCATTTTGCTTTACTGTATTCCTCCAAGTGTGGAAACAATGCCGTTTAAGACATTGCAAAGCGACAATGGCTGCGTTTTGACGCACCGTTTGTCGACTACCAGGTCACCAACATTTTCCAATAACATATATCCAATTTATATACCGGACTTTTGTGTAGTCAGGTTCAAAGAACTACACGCTACCTGTGCGTTTCTTTATTTTTGAAGAGTGTATAGGTTTGTAAATAATTGAGTGTGGGCCAGGTAATCCAGTAATTGACATCATGAGCATCGAGCCTCTATAGGTGGTCAAGAATGATGTCATCAAGGTGAACTCTGGTTGGTGTTAACAACACAAAGGCCAGTGCAGCAAACAACACAACATGACTGGTGTCGATGTTTTTTCGGGTAGTAGATACCAGTGGTAGATGTGGAGTTCTGACAATATTAATCAAGATGCATGATCGCAGGTGGCTGATGGCGTCAGCACACCTTCGTACAACCGGCATCGAAGTCCAACATCAATCGGGATTCATCGCTGAACATCACATATACCATTGGACATCACCCCTTGGTGTTTACATTTCACAAGTTGCGGGATACAAGCAAGCATGCTCTTACCATCAAGATGTCAAAGAGCGTCATACGACTCTCGGTCAGAAGTTGTTTGATCAAGGTTACAACATTCAAGGCCTCAGCAAAGCTTTCAAAACGTTTTACGGTTGACATGAGGAGGACATTTCAAAATTTGAAGCATCAGTGACAAAAGTTATGTCCGATGCAATTCTCTATTTTGACATGTATCATACGTTCCCTTGCTTTGACTTGCCTTTGCATGTGTTTGGGACGGTAGCCATCGGTGGAGCAGGATACGCTCACCTTCTCGCGAACACCTGATGTCATGACTATTAGATAGTGATTAATAAAAACATGTTCATGGTATAGTCGGAATCGTTCAATCGACTCAGAGATATCTACTGAATATGTAAAGGCGTGTGTCGCATTATTTATTAATTATTTAGGTAATAGCTGTATGAACAACGTTAAGGCCAGTTTACTCTTAAGAAATGTGCCGAATACAGTTATTTTTTCAAATACATAAGATCATTGTACTATGTCTCTGAACTAGTAGCTTGTACACCCCTTCAAATCAAGTGTATAATGTACCGATAAGAGAGAGGTCATGAACATGCCTCGAATGTGGCGCGGGTAGCTTGGCATGCCTCACACGTTGTATTTACCAAGGAGACACGAATTATGACGTGGAACCTTGAGTGCTTTAGAGTGAAAAGTAAGAGTGACTGGTTGAGAGTGACTTTCGTCTGTTGAGAAGGTGTTGTCATTCCACGGTACATGTCCTCGACTCCTGTGTATTGCCCCTTCGTGGGGTTTCGGGGGCACGTGGGGCCCAAGTATGCCGTGCATGTCGTAAGTGTCGACTGAAGTTCTTCGGGTGGTCAGACTCGATGACATGACTCATCTATCATCCTACACGATGGCATTGATATTTGCACATGTTTCTAGTGTTAGTTTACCTGCCCTGACTTGATTATTTACAGACCGCTGTGGTAAAGTGCAATACTACTGGCTTCAGACAGCATTCACTCATCCTCTATTGTCGTATTCCGTGATCTAGTGGTGGAGCGTCCGCCCGGCCGCGTCATACCAAAAGACGTTAAAAGATGGTACTCGGCATTAAGGGGCTAAAACAAGGACTGGTCGGCTCGGAGTCATGATCAGTTCACTGTGTCTGAGTGGGGTATTCATGTGAAACTGCGGCTAACTCTATAAATCGACATCAGTTCGGACAAGTAGCTACATACACACACACGTGCATGCACATCGCTATATAAGTGCAATAATCTTGGAGGCGACGTTAAACCCCATTTCACCTCACCTCACCTATTGTCGTGTTCGGCTGTGGCCGCTCTCTAGACTTACATCTTAATCAAAAGTAATCTGGCAAACGGGTGAACAAGATGCCTAAAGCGCCACATAGTGCTGTTCAAAGTTGCGTCCGTTACGCGTGTCAGAATCATTGGTACGAATCCAAGACTATGACTATAATATGTATTAGTTTGGCAACAGCAAAACCATATGTATGATGTGCATCACCTGGGTATTCCTCCTACATGAAGCTGTCACACTTTGATGAAACTGAAATACTATTCAAAGCAGTGTTAAGCCCACATCTTTCATTCACTATTCTGGATTGAACGATCCCAAAACTACAGGCCCTTGTGTCGTTGCCTAAATATTTCTAGATCAATTAATATCAAGAGTGTCAAAAATGCACACTCCGTACAACACCATTCTGCTTATATCGCTGTTTCTAAAGTTTGTTTGTTTGTTTGTTGTTTAACGCCGCACTCAGCAATAATCCAGCTATATGGCGGTGGTCTGTAAGTAATCGAGTAGTTAGCGACATGAGCATCGATCCACGCAATTGGGATCGATGACATGCATCAACCAATTCAGCGAGCCTGACCACCCGATCCCGTTAGTCGCCTCTTACAACGAGCCGCCTTTTACGTCAAGCATGGCCATGGGTTGCTGAAGACCTATTCTACCCCGGATCTTCACGGGTCCTGTTTCTAAAGTGTAATTGCAAATCAGGCACAAAACCCTTGTCTTGGGTGATTATTCTATCGATTCCAATACATGACTCCTCCAAAGTCTTTATTGCTATGATGGGCGGTCGGGTAGCGTAGTGGTTAAAGCGTTAGCTCTTCACGCCGAAGACCGGGGTTCGATTCCCGTCATGGGTACAATGAGTGAAGCCTATTTCTGGTGTCCCCTGCCGTGATATTGCTGGAATATTGCTAAAAGCGGCGTAAAACTATACTCACTCACTTTATGAAATAATATCGACCGAAAGCCGTCTACTCGCCACTTTGAAGCCAACCGAGCACACATGACCGACATCTGACCCGCGCAGAAAGGCCCACGTGCAACGAAGCAGTTTTGTTTCCTGATCATGAGGTGCAAAGAAAGGACACATTGTTTACACCATTGGATATTATTTCATCAATATTGATTTGGAAAATGCATGTTCTTTCGTGTTTCTGCTATCTTGAGAAAAGGCTTTGCTTAATCTTAGCGATGTGTATGACAAAGCAAAACTTACTTTCTCAATCTCAATATATGTTTACGAAGGAATGAAATAAAGTATAAACAGACAAACGTCAATAAAACACGGAGACCCTTTCGGGTGTGAAGTCTTATGCTTTACTATACAGGATATGCGAGAAGAGCCTATCTATAGGGGTATTCTTCACGTCGTATGGTGTTAATATTACCGAGTATACCGTGCACCTTCTTCAAAGTGTAGACACTCCTTGATATATCAATAATTCTCTAAGTGACTTCGCCGAGTGTCCTTGTCCTGATAACGATATTTTATAACACTACGTAATAAATCATTTCAGACTTCAGGAGAAGGCCAGGCTTCACTCATAGAGTACAGTAATATAAATATACAACGAATTCTGGGGAAATATTTGAAAATTGTCCTGTCATGATCAACAGGTCCCATTTAATCTTATATACTTTACAGTGTGAGGGGTAGCAACAAAATCATCTTTGGCCTCTATCCAGCGATCTTAAACTTGGTGGGGTGAAGGGGAATGGTCATTAACGTCGCGTTCAAGATTATTTCACTTGTATAGCGATGTGCATGACCGTGGGGGTGTGGCTGATTGTACCAGTCCTGACTTATACCGGTTTGATAGTGTCGCAGTTTAACGTAGATGCCCCACTCAGACACTGTAAACTGACTCCTAGCCAGCCTCAATGCCGAGTGCCAGGCAGGGCAACAACAACTTACGCGAGATGACCAAAACGTCGAGATTATCGTCGTAAATGAAAGTACAATCTTTTTCAAATCATTGTGAAATAACCGATTTCTTATTTACTAAATAGCGATCTATAAATGATAAACATCCCAGCTTGACCTTTTTGCTTAGCGTTTACTACCCGCATCAAAGTTGTTCATGCATGTTTAATTCGAGTACACGTTTATGGCACTGTATTCGTTACGAAATATAATATCGTAATCACATTGTTTTGTTTCGATTAAACAAGCGTTATTACAACTATCCGTTTTGCCCAGCTGCGTTCTTGTGACGTGTATGCATGCATCCCTCCCAGGGACCTGTGAAGATCCGGGGTAGAATAGGTCTTCAGCAACCCATGTTTGCCGTAAAAGTAGACTTACGGGATCAGACTCGCTGACATGGTTGATACATGTCAGCTTATCCCAATTGCTTGGACAGATACTCATGATATTGATCACTGAGTTGTCTGGCCGATTATTGAAAGATCGCCATCATATAGCTGGAATATTGCTGAGTGCGGCTTTAAACAACAAACAAACAAACAACAAACTTAATGAAATGGTCATATTCTTTTTGTGACTCAATATAATCAATCGGACCACAAAGACATATTTTTACTAAAGGTAAGTACCAGTCAAGTATAAACGCACTAAGATCACATCAACAAAGCTCGTTAGACTTGACTTCGACATTTCAATAACAACAGAAACATAAATGAAACTTATGATATATCTCATTACAATTGCCATAAGCACAAGCATTATTACAACATCAAAGTAAATGCCTGCATTCACATCCCTTATGATGTCGAAGTGGTTGTTCTTTTGTACTCCACATCATGACATGTCTCGGTCTTTGTGGAAAATCCACATATTGCAAGGTGACGCACATAATCAGACACTTTATCCTGGCTGTCTTGGAACCTCAGCTTTTCAGATGTCAAAGCGTTCTTCAAATTACGAGTCGGGTTGTAAAGAGATACCAATTTACTTTCAGCAGGGATCACCTTGGAAGGATCGTCCAATGTTGTCCTCGACCTCAGAAAGGAATATTCTGGATTACTCCATCGTACTTTCTTGCCCGAAGCTTTCTTTTTGGATAAAATGGATGAACTGACACTGTTATGCCCGTGCGAATCTTCCCTATTATCCTGTATGGAAGCACCAAAGTCACCATTCCGTACATTGTCAGATATATCTTGTTTTGAACTGTCTTTTAGTTGGTGAAGATGTGAACCATTGTCAGCCGCTTTAATCCGATCATCCTGTTCCTTATCAACGTTCAACTTAGTGTGATACTGTAAATCCGGAACACGGACAGGACTCGTCTCCAGCCTTTTATACCCAACTGTACTCTGTGCCTCTCCGATGTAACGTCTGAGACTGCTATTTCTGTGCAAGGAGGAATGTGTAGTTTGCCTGGTCGGGGTAAGTTGTACCATCGAGGTTTGTCGTTCGGGTGAAGACGCTACTATGCATGATAAAGTGTCATCCCCAACAGGTGAACATTTCAGTCCAGTAATATTTCCCACATGTCCCGACTGTATTGACCGATGACGAGGCATCTGCTTGTAGTTTCCCCAAACACAGAACTTCAAGGGTGTTAAATGAGGAAATCGTGTTGAATGTAACCGGAATCTCAGCGCATCACATCTAATCACCCGAGATGAATGCTGTTTATGTAATCGGATGTCATCCAGATCAGAATTTAACTTACTCTGTATGATTTTGTTTTTCCTGTATGCATCTCTCTCATTATCGCTCCAGAACACAGCGGGTGGTGGCAGTCTCCTCTCGTCCACTGCAAGGTGGAACTGAGACTTCCTGTCTCTATCCGAGCCATGTCTCAAGAAGCTTCTGCTGCCGAAACCACTGGTAGAGTTCCTGGTCATTGCCAACATCTGTCTCGACTCCGGCCGTCTGCTATGGTATCCATCGTCCATCCCTCGTTATGTGCGGGGATAATGCCACTAATTATCGTGTCTCTAGCTAACGTGGATGTTAACAAAATTATTTTAAAATAATCGTTTTTCCAAAACGATTGTCGGATCCTCCAGATCCTCAGTATTCAGTCTTCAGGCGTACGCACAATATAGACAAAGCTACCCAGACAGTGTAATGTGTGCGTCTGGACACCTACCATTTACCTTGGGCTTATATGAGACACCCATAATCATTACCTAGATTTCAAAATCTTTATCTTGTTAATATACTACGACCCATGCCGAGGAGTAAGGAATACGTACAAGACAAATGATTAAATAATCTAGCTAAAGTACCCTCTCTTGTCAATAATCAATAAAGTCGATATCGATGATTAATGGCCACGTATCGATAAAACAAATAATATAGATGCATATTATATATATATTAACCAGATGAATATTACAGTTGATAATATTTTTCTGCTTTGATACATACATATACTTACAAATCCTGGGTACTTCTTAATTTTATTATTTTGATTTACATGAGGAGTGTAATGAAAACGAGAGCATTAATTTGACAATCTATACATAACTATTATTGTTCAATGCTGGGATAGATTATTAATGTGTTCTTTCAACGTGACAGGATGTTGTGTGTGATAACATGATTACGAACTTGAAAATTTAAGATGTTGCTACCCAAACCTCCATTCAGTTTATGTATATCAGATCCTTATCAATTCAAGCCGGAAAAATTAATCACCTTGTGTGACTAGAGATTATGCCGGGGACAATTAATGGTGACATGCACTGATCCCAAAGGCAAATATTGATTCTTTCGGTGATTTACCTCCGCCAAGACAAATAGGATTATATTTACCATTCGAGGAAATATTGATTGAAAACCAGCGATCAGGTAATTGGAGATTGACTAGGTATAATGTTAATAGCCATCTCAGCATGATCCAAAATATTATATGACAATTTTTCACAACGCAGTAGTCACATAGGTGACAGTTGGTAACATGTATTTACTCCATATCGTTGATTGATAATATAGCTCATGGGCCATGGCGCGAAGATAGAGCGTCAACCTTATCAAGCCATGGATTTCGCATGTTATCTATGCTGGGACGTATTGTGCCCTCAAGTACCTATTATCTTTCATTGAATGACATGCTGTGAGTGTTCTTGGGCAATAACGTTCTTGACATTAATCCTACATGTATGTGACGACTGATAAATGTTATTCCAAACATATATAAAAATCACCTCTGTAAATTAGTTTGCCGTACCAAGGGGGCACGGGTGGCCCAGTTGTCTAAGGCGCCGCGATTCGCTGTGCAGAGTTGCGTCCCTTGGGCACGCCAGAAACCTATGATTGTGGGTTCGAATCCCGGTTCGCCCCGATTATGTTTCTTGGTTTGTCAGCACCATACCCGTGCTCGTAGGTTTCACCGGAGAGGTCAACGTCTGGGACCTGCATCACTTCGGGTTTTCCTCCCACATTAAGCTGACACGCCGTGATATAACTTGAATAATGTTAAAAGCGGCGTTAAACCCAACTCACTCACTCACCAGATAAAAGCAAGATATCTTAAACATACTTATTTGATTTTTAAATCCCGAGCTATATGTTATTACGAACAGGTCGGACACCTGCACATGCGATACGAAATATTTTAACCAGAGGTGTGACGCTGTTTTAATCGAAATCATCAATTTACTTTGAGAAACGTAACGTAAAAATTTACTATTTATTATTTTAATCACAAATATGACTTATTTTTATGTAAATGTTCACGTGACCTGGAATTGCACTCTGTGTCTACTAATTGACTTGGATTCTCCTTCAGAAGGTGTATATATGATCATGAGGCAAGGTGAGGTGAGGTGAAATGGGATTTAATGTCGCGTTCAAGATTATTGCACTTTTATAGCTACTATGTGGCTACTTGTACCAGCCCGAACCCAAGCCGGTTTTATAGTGCTAGCCCATTGAGACACCATGCCGCGGTTTAACATGGATACCCAACTCAGCCACGGTATATAGACTTGTTTTATCCACTCAATGCCTAGCACCAGGCAAGGTAACAACAAGTACCATCTTTAACGTCTTTTTGGTATGACCCGGCCAGGGGATCGAACCCCGACCTCACGCCCCCCTGGCAGACGCTCTATCCACTAGAGCATGGAGGTGGTTCATGTATATATGAATGTACTCGTGGGGGTAGGGTGTGTTGTGTGACTGGTGGGCATATTGAACATGCCTCGTGGTAGTCAATATCTGGCCTGTGAGTGAGTGAGTGAGTGAGTGAGTTGGGTTTACCGCCGCTTTTAACAGTATTCCAGTTATATCGCGGCTTGTCAGCTTAATGTGGGAGGAAAGCCCGAAGTGATGCAGGTCTTAGACGTTTACCACTTTGGTGAAACCCACGAGCACGGGTATGGTGCTGACAAACCTAGAAACATAATCGGGGCGAACCGGGATTCGAATCCACAATCTTAGGTTTCTGGCGTGCCCAAGGGACGCAACTCTGCACAGCGAATCGCGGCGCCTTAGACGACTGGGCCACCCGTGCCCCCTTCTGGCCTGTGACCTTATGCTTTACGTCCGCTTTGTATATAACACCTATAGCAACGCGTTGCCACAAGCCCTTGTGGCCAGGCAAATTCGATGATACCAAATGTGCTATGTAATATGGGTGTTTTATCGAGTGGCCTGACGACCGGTTGAGTAATTCTGTGTAGATTTGCGTCTATTAGTTACCGAATCCGATAATCGTGGGTTCGAATCCCAGATTCGTCCTGAGTATGATTCTGCTTAGTCAGCACCCTTGCCTCACCAGCAAAAGGGTAAACGTCTAGTACCTGTATCACTTTGTGAGTTTTCAAATCACATAATGCGGACACACCGCGATATTACTGAAGTGTTGTTCACTCACTCACTATGGGCTAGGCTAACTATACCAGTTGAATACCCGACAACTATATCCAAATATATATTTTTCCCGATTATTATAGGAGTTTTATCAACGTTTATCATTTTGGTTTGATATGTCTGAGTATATGTGAGTACGCGAGTGAAAGCTTGGGAGTGTGAATCACCTTTATACAACAATGTTTGTCATTTATTTGTTGATATATATTTCATGTTTTACAGTTTATGATAAAGCACAAGGTATATTGTAATTCGGTATCTATCAACTTAATACATGATTTACCACTAGAAACTGACAAAATGTTTAGCGCTCTTATCTTTGTCTTAACAATGCTACCTTGACCATAGTCTGAAATCAATGATCTATGCACCTATTTAACTTCCTTTGCCTATCAGTTTGATGTGAAAGGTACAAACACATAGTGAGTGAGTGAATTTGGTTTAATGCCGCTTTTAACAGTATTCCAGTTATATCGCGGCTTGTCAGCTTAATGTGGGAGGAAAGCCCGAGGTGATGCAGGTCTTAGACGTTTACCACTTCGGTGAAACCCACGAGCACGGGTATGGTACTGACAAACCTAGAAACATAATCGGGTCGAACCGGGATTCGAACCCACAATCCTAGGTTTCTGGCGTGCCTTACTCTGCACAACGAATCGCGGCGCTTTAGACGACTGGGCCACCCGTGCCCCCTGAAAGCTTGGGAACTTATATCCGTCATGGTCGTCAACATTCCTACTGCACTATGGCCTATGGACAATCTAGGCTTCGTCAGGTTTCTTAGGGTTACAAGGGCAACGATTCACACTGTCGAGACACCATGATACACAATCTACCAGGTTACTCAACGTAATCACTTGTTATCTAACGACAACCAATGGGGGTTACTGGAGGCATATTCTGCCACATTGGGGATTAATATTTGCAGATACACTGTGCATGCCGTATAATGTATTAGTAACAAGCAGAATATGTGAACTGTGATTGACTAAAGCCTTTCGTGACGTGAGACAAATATGGGTGTGCTTCAACGTATGTGCATACAGACACTTGGTCAGAGTCAAGAGTGGTTCTACTGCATATTTCTTTGCAGCTGTTGTGTCAACAAAATAAGTGTCAGGAACAAGCTCAGTGATTATATGTAGGTGTAGCAGATTGAAAAATATATTGATTTACCACTTTGATAATATTTCGTGCAGAGACATATGCTACTGCGTTATCGTGCGCATAGGCTTTGGTAAATACCCGAGGGCACTGTATCAGTGGAATGCGTTACAAATCTCAAACCCACTACCTACCACTACCACTACTACCTGTACAACCTCAGATCTTTACCACTTCGGTTATATCGCGGCGTGTCAGCTTAATGTGGGAGGAAAGCCCGAAGTGATGCAGGTCTCAGACATTTACCATCATAGGTTTCTGGCGTGCCCAAGGGATGCAACTCTGCACAGCTAATCGCGGCGCCTTAGACGACTGGGCCGTCCGTGCCCCCTATCACTGTATGAGAAAGAGCATACACGAGAAAACATCATACAACATAAAACATCAAGACTATGTCACAACATCAGGGGGCGGTGGGTAGCCTAGTGGTTAAAGCGTTCGCTCGTCATGCCGAAGACCCGGGTTCAATTCACCACATGGGTACAATGTGTAAAGCCCATTTCTGGTGTCCCCCGCTGTGATATTGCTTGAATATTGCTAAAAGTGGCGTAAAACCAAACTCACTCACTACATCAGAGAGCACATGTCATTACACCAGAAAGCACAATATACTTTACCAGAGTGTTACTATATTCACACAAGACAAATATGCACACTTTGGGAAACTACAGTTCAGTTCAAATAGGGTCATTCGGACGTAACATGCACTTTACTATTCCTTTAAAACACCAACCGCACAAAATGCACCATAATGTCCTTCTAAACTTCTAAGGGCCGCTGACACAGTGATCACGGTAGCCCTTGTATCCTGACATCCCGACAATGTTAATGTACACTCATGTCAACACGTTGTATCGTGGTGTACCGTGATCCCTGATAAGCTGTTGACAGCATACAGGCGAAGGCTGAGGGTCTGCAGATGCCTCCTTCTCACCGATACAACATATCTCTCACGCCACAGAGGGGAGGAAAGACTTTTATCAAAGCATATCATAAACCATCATAAAAGCGTCATATTATGCGATAAGCATTTAAGATTGTCCCTTAATAATCCCCATAAATCGGTAATGGCTGGTGACAGAAGCTTATTTATAGAAAAATATTTGCCGATAGTCAACATCTTGTCCTACCTTGTTATCAATGACTGCTTCAGACTGTAATAAAATCTGGCTAATTTGATAGCAATTCTCCGATTATCAAGC